CACTGCTCGCTGGCACTGTTGTTTCCAGTCTGCTCATAAAAGTCGGCGATGGCAATCTCGTTACCGTACAGGATGGAGTTGAGATCGACAGGGATGATGTTCCTGGTGTTGAGGTACCGAAGTGGGAAGTAGTTGTCACGAATAGCATCCTCTGGACGAGCAATCCACTTGACTGTGTAGTCGAGACCACTCTCAGCGCCACTAGCGAGGTTTCCGTACAGGGCCTCCTTTTGCTTAAAGCTGAGCTCTTCGCCGCCTTCATAGACTTCACCGGACTCTGGCGAGTAGTATGACTCGTTGTTTGCGGTAATGTAGTCCTCACGGTACGACTCGGGTCGTGGCCTGGTGTTGGAAACGTTGTATCTGGGACGTATTAGTGATATTATTTGAGAAAAGATGTGGTGTACTTACGTGTTGAGGTAGTAGGTCTCATTGTTAATGTAGACTGGGACTGAACGGTTGTTCATGAAGAACTCGTGCTCCTGCACCAGCAAAGGCAGGGCTCGCTCAAGGATATCAGTGTCGTTTGTGTACTCGACGTAGGCCTTGATCATCTGCGATAGCAGAGGAGGCTGAGAACGGTTGAGGTAGTAAATTCGAGCACCATTGGGCACAAAACCATACTCCTCGATAAAGTCGAGGAAGTTTTCAATTGTGTTCTTGGCGATTTCAATGAAAGAGCCGCCGGTTCGGAGAAGACCCAGAATGATCCAGTAAGAATCCCAATAGTAGGGCTCACGGAATCGACCACCTGCAACGACAAAAGAGCGGTTGACGGGGATGAAGCTGTTGGGGCAATCTGAACAGTTTTTGGCGTCTTGGTCGTATCGACGGGTCAGATCAGGCCAAATGTCAATAACCTTTTCAGTGAATTCTCTGATGACAGTGTCGTTGATGTTGTCGAGGAATTTAGGGTCAGTATCGAGATCGTCTCTAGATACCTCTTCCAGCTCATTGCCAGCATCGTCAAAGTTTTCATCGAGAAAGTCAGCAAGGGCAGAATTGTTGCGGAGAGGCTTCTCGAGTTTGTCAAAAGCTTCCTGGATGTCGCTTAGAGGGCGAATAGCTGGCCTGTGATGGCGAGTGTTAGTGACATGTTATGAGAGCGATTAAGTTGGTATTACTTACATATCGACAAAGGTCTTGGAGTCGCTAAAAGGTCGAGCGAGTTCGACCTGCTCAAGGATATCTCCATGGCAGTAAATTGGCGAATCGCAAGGTGCAACAACAGTACCATTGACATAGAGAGCTGATGCAGTTGTCGCAGTAGCAACCAAAGCTGCAGCGATATGTCGTGGAGACGGCATGATTGAAGAGAGATGACTCAGTTGCCAATTGAGTATTAATTAATATCAAGGATGCGGTACAGAAAAGAAAAGAGGGAAATCAAAGTAAATATATACGAGTTTCTATGGGGAGTAGGCCAAGCAAAGATGATCATGACATTGTCTCTAAACAGGATTTAGTTACCTTGAGCTACCCTTGTCATGGGATGGGGTGCAGTGTAAGCCAAGAAGGGAAGAGCTGAAAGAGTTGTAGTTGAGCCTGACGATCATTTCCTCCTGCCATGTACATTACTTACCCACTAGATACCTCTAGTGAGTAGGCAACCTTTTTATTTTATTTTATTTGTTAGCGTGAGTGATTTTGCGTTGGCCAAGAGCATTGATGAACTTTCATGTTATGACGATGCTTTAACCATATATAAGTATTGATTTGCAAGATATTGCGCTCAGTCACTACCTAACTACCCAATTGATAGTTTCACTTCTCATCAGACTCTTCTATCACCATAAACTATGCAATTGAATAGGTTTATAATACAAATCAGCCCATATTAACAGTGACGTTGTATCGTTCACATATAAACACCAACACACCCCGGACGCCACATAAAAAGACAAACAAACGTGGAGAAACGCTCATAATAATCCCTGTTTCTGTTCTTCCTTTCCCCGCACTTTTGGCTTGGCTCTTCCCAGACTTAAACTAGACGTTTCTTGCAGTGAAGCCGTCAATTTGACCGATTGGTTGGTGACGTCAAGAAAACAAGACAAGACGCGCAATTCAAAAAGAGAAACGTCTTTCTTTTCCTTAAAGTGCGGAATTAAACTCTTTGTGAACGTGTCAGTGGCGTCCTGGGCATTAAAATCAGTCTTGGCTTTCATTTTCCTTGAGTTTCTGAGTCAACGGTAATACATACCAAGACGTTAATTGACTTTCTCTAACCTATTCAAACTCTAAGGTGAATTTGTCTTAGTGGATGTTTCTATTCTATTCACATAGGGGGTACCGTCGCTCGAGTCCATCACAATAATTCATCGGTAACTTACTGAACGTATTATGTAACCACCTGCCTGAATCACTTAGTTCTTTTCGACTCTGAGGCTGTAGAATAGACTAATACGCGGTGCAACTCCACGCAAAGACGTTGATCCTGACCCTGGTCCTGGCTCTGATCTTTACAACGGCCCGATGTCTCGCAACTCACTCAAACTTAAATCCAAGACGAAAGTAATTTGTTGTTTACAATTGCGTGAGTAGTCCCGAGTATTCTCACCGACTCTCATTCTCAAGACGTAAGCAGTAACCTCAACGGAACAAGTGCGATAGCATGATGCAACGACAATCTATTCTATTTGACTAAACTCCATCATCTTCTATTGAGGCACATATACACTTCCCTTTCCAATCTTTTGCTCAACACTCGAGTCTTGGCTCTCTCCAAGGACCTTTTCAAAAACAACCTTTAGTCGTTGCAAGACCTCGTCACCATTCTGTGCAACCTGGTAATGTGTCACCAACCTATTGCACATAAACTTGAGCCCAGCTTCAGCTCCAATCTCAATAAACCGCTTCTCACTGCACCCTGTAGCCTTGAGGTCCAACCACACCATGTTAGTCTCAGTCGGCTCATCAATCTTACCGCCCATACTGGTCCAGAGGTCGTTAACCTTGCGGGCCATTTCATGGGAGGCTTTGAGGGGTCCGTCTTGGCCGTTGGGTGATTTGCCAAAAGTTTGCTCCACGGCAATGCGGCCTGCAGAGGTGAGGACGCCGGATTGCCGAAGACCACCTCCAATAGACTTGCGAACCCATCGAGCGTGCTTCAGTGTAGCCTTGGGACCCACGATCACACTTCCAGCAGGAGCACCGAGACCTTTGGAGAGACACAGGCTGATGGTGTCAAAGTAAGAGCAATATTCAGTTAGAGATCCAGCTCCAGATACCACAGCTTCCCACAATCGTGCGCCATCTAAGTGAAGCTTGATATCGTGCTCCCTAGCAAACTCGGAGATACGCTTCACTTCACTCAGGGGCATGACCATGCCATGAAGCGTATTTTCAAGACTAATCACTCGCGTGGGGCACCCGTGAACATCATCGTCCAGGGTCACGTTCTCCTGAATTTCCTCTAGCGTCATATATCTCCCATTCTTAGGGATAACAGTCTGAATCTGAGCTCCTGTAAGGTTTGAAGTGCTGCAATATTATTAGCCAAGATAACTCAATGGCGCTAAATGCGTGAGGACTTACCCGCCAGCTTCAGATGTGAATATGTGGGCACGATAGTCGCAAAGTACGGAGTAGGGTGGCTGCGTAAGAAGAGATCTCAGGGCGAGTTGGTTACCCATTGTGCCCGAAAGAACGAAAAGACCAGCTTCTTTGCCTGTACGCTCTGCCACATAATCTTCAAGGTCATTGGTGGCAGGGTCTTCCTGGAAGACATCATCCAGCAAGGAGCATGTCGAGACAGCCTCGAGCATAGCTGGCGTGGGGGTTGTCACAACATCGCCTGGATAGATAAGAGAGTCAGATGTTCAGAACTCAACACATATGAGCAGTTGACGTACTTCGAAGATCAAGGGCAGCTGGTCCTTTGGCACCGAGCCACGCATTGTGAGGTTTCTCAGAGATAGCGTCTCCCATTTTGATAGTAGAAGAGGTAAAAGTGCGTTGCAGAGGGATGACTGAATGAGTCTGGATAGACAAATGGAAGGTCCGTACAGGACGAGAACTAATAAATGGCAAGTTTCGGAATGAGACAAGTCGAGATGATCGACTCATTATGATTAAAAGAGAGCGATCAAGTCGGTCAATTCGGAGGGTTCAAAGTATCTCCGCAGACCGGACAGGACGAATAATGTCACTTTCAGGGCGCGCAACCTCCACAAAATGTACTCAACGTTAACAGCCAAACGTGAGGGGAAAGTGGGAAAAGAAAGTCGAATCGGAGCATTTGACCGTTTGACAGGTACCGAGGCCGATTTCGCCCCGTCTAGGCTCCGGGTAGCGATAAGTTACTTATGGAGCTTCTCCCCGCAAATCAAACTTCAGAGTTGAACGCACTTATTCCCGTTTTATATGCCTGCATTATATATGAAAGAGCCTCAACAAGTCTTCTTCATAATTAGTTTTTAATTGTAAACTTGTAATGACTATACTTAAACTTGGTGTCGTCTCGCAAAGATTAGCGTAGCCTGGCGTTAATTTTCGAGAAACTATATATTCTCACGTACTGCGCTTTGGTAAAGTCAGTAGGATTACTGGGTCACTGCAACATCAGATGGTCACTGCAACATCAGATGGTCACTGCAACATCAGATGGTCACTGCAACATCAGATGGAACAGACTCGTTTAACATGATAATCCCAATATTTATCAATGCTTGTCTGTCGGTACTTACTAGGACTGCCGACCGATCGGCACTGCCAAACATCCAGTCAGCCAATAATGGATGGCTGTCGGCATGGCACTGCATAAATGTTTGCGTGTAACTACCAGACCATCATCTCCATCTGATGCTCTAGAGAATATCCCCAACCTTGCTAGCGGGCGATCTATGAATCCTTCTAGGGATATGGTGCCGTGTTTCCCGATATCGTGGCTCCTTTATCGTTGGGTATCGAATGCATAGATACTAATCAAGTGTGAGTTATCACATACCGACACTCTTTTACCACTCTTCTTTCGGTTGGATTTACTTCCAGAACCCATTATGGCCTCTATCATCCTTTCTCGGCCCTTTGTTCTGTTGTTTGCACTGGTTTGCGCGGCGATGCTTCTCTCCAGGCAGCCACACTTCGACTGCTCGCACACACATCGCATTACTGATGCAGATATCAGAGCGACCCAAACACTCCCAAGGCTCAACTTCTCGAAATCGCATCACGAGTTCTATGCTTCAGAGGCTGCTCGATCTTTATGCGCCGCGCACGGTTACTCCATCTTCAAGCCCGAGGCGGATGCTGTCAACGGCCGTCGCAAGATATACGACCTTTTTATGGTCAACACTGAGCTGGACTTTCTCGAGATCCGATTGAGGACCTTGTATGATTATGTCGACTACTTTGTCATCGTCGAGGCACCCCTTACATTTCAGGGAGGCCCAAAGAATCTTACCATTCGTGATGACTGGAAGCGATTCGAAGCATATCATGACAAGATGATATACCACCAGCTGGAATACCCAAAAGATTTCAAGCCTTTGCGTCACTGGGATCGCGAGGACTTGCAACGAAACGCCATGTTCGAACAAGTCTTCCCAAAACTTACCGGCAAACAAATCCCTGCCCAGGGCGACGTCATTCTGGTCGCCGATGTTGATGAGGTTCCTCGCCCAGCAACAATGCTGGTCCTTCGTACATGTAACTTTCCACGTCGACTCACCTTGTCCTCCAAATTCTACTACTACTCCTTCCAGTTTCTCCATGACGGACCCGAATGGCCATTTCCACAAGCGACTTACTATCAAGGCATGCGCAAGACAATACTGCCTGGGAATCTGCGAACCGGCGATGCAGGCATTCCCCTGCTGCGTGATTTGGAAAAGGGCGTATTATCGAATGCGGGGTGGCATTGCAGTTCTTGCTTTGCGACAGTGGACCAATTTCTGAACAAGATGTCCAGCTTCTCACATGCGTGGATGAACCGCGAATCTTTTCGCGACAGAGATCGCATTGCCAGTGCCGTACGCCAAGGTGTTGACTTATGGGGTTGCAAGATCGACACTTTTACACGGGTCAATAACAACATTGACCTGCCTGAATGCTTGCTCGAGGACCGGGGGCGATTTCGATACATGGTAGATCGAGATGGCGAGACAGCTGGGTTCACGGACTACCCATGAGGATATCAGTGGTCGGTATGACGATGGCGGATATATCGAGATGGAGAGGCTCGTAATAAGTTGTGATTCTTTTCTGTTTTACCTGAATATAGAGTCAAAATACCCTAAGATAGTTATAAGCTGTCTCGTGCTTTGTTCATATCCAAACTGAAATGACTCCAGTCTCTAGTCACATAAAGGACTGATTGTGAATCTCCTGTAAAGAAACGTCTTGCTTCTTGGGAATAATAAGCAGTATGTAGAAACTGAGTTGACGAGGAACGGTGCCCAGAGAATAGACTACGCTCAACCTGAAACTGAAATAGAAGGGAGTCATCTGAACTAGAATGTTGGGAATGGAAGGAATGTGTCAAAACAAGTGGTCCTCTGACGGCAACAGCCTTCTCCTTCCCTCCCTACTTCCCTGCCTAAGCTCTTTCCTAATTAACGTCAAGTCAGGCACCCATATCGAAGAATCCACCTTTGGGTGGTCACTTCTCTCCTCCACTAACTTGTTTTTTGAACAGCATCAATTCACTTACTCAGCTCAACTTTTATTCGGCCGGCGATCCATTGAATCACATCACATTCACCAGCTGATCCTTCTCGCGTTCACAGTCACTTTTCCAAGCAAATGTTCCAGCTCGGACTGGTCAGTCGTCCAGTCACGATAGCTTCAGGGCTAACTTCCAACGAGGATCTCCACGAATGAGCCGCCAGCGTCAACCGCATCAGGGGTTCCAAAGTCATCCGGAACTTGAGCCGTGTGAGGGAGGTCCATTTGCAGAAAAGCCATCGTCTAGCGCAAGACCTTCGATTCGCTCACAGTTATCAAAGACGCTCCAATGAAAAGGCCGAATCCACCTTTTCCAAAACCTCGAATTCCAGTTCATTTCCTTCCCGGGAAATAATAATGTCAACCCTTTTCCACACAATATCTTCTTTCTTGTTCCGTTCTTGCTTTTACCTCATGATCAAGACTAAACACGCTTTCATTGATTCTCTTAAATACTCATACTCCTTTCGATATCCTCGAACCATCATACCACTCCGTCTCCACCCCCGTACCGATAACCCTCCGCTCCGCCTCCGTTCACCGCCGCCCCCGTCTAATCGGAGCTCCCGAAGGGCTGTTTAAGAAGCACCCGGCGCAACATGAACTCATTGCAATTATTAAATTCACTTAAATCATACAAGTTGCTTGAAACTTGAGCATTCATAATGTTAATCTCTAATCGCAATCCGCGATTCAACCCTTTGGAATTCGTTGATGCGATGCTAATTGGCTCATCGACATCTTATAAAGTACAATTTGCAGCATGCAAAAGCATTCCCGACTTAGAGTACTCGATCTGGGAAACCAGGGCCCTGACAACTGACGCCAGCAGGGCCCTAAGGCGGCAAGCGACCATCTAGGAAAGGGACCCGTTCATCGGAAGCACTTGGCCGTTCAAGAAAACGACAGCACCCAGTCAGAGGCACCCACGATATCCTCCCCTGCTGCACCTCAGATCCTCACCAGTTCGTTTGCTCAGCCCGGGGGTGGGTGCGGACGGAAAGGCGATGGATGCGTGATGCGAGACGGGATTGACAGAGCCACTGCAAACTGGCGTGCGGCGCTTGTCAACTGCAGCGATGAGTTGGCCAACGCATCAAGTGGTCCGTGTGTAGCCTCCCAGAGTTTCCCTCGACAGGCCCCTCTCTCACATCTCCTCCCACTTTCTTTTCAATTTGAACGACAAATTTCACTCATTCTTTTCATGTTTCGCTTTCATATTCATATCTGGTTCTTTTTGCTTCCAGTCGTCTTTTTCCCAGGCCAAAAGGACGTACGGTTGCTAAGTATGGGTGTTGATAAGTATCCGCACCCCGGCATCACCTGGACATCTGCGCTTCACATTGACAACTCACCCCATGTCATCTGGGACAAGCCATTTGGTACAATTCGATCTGTTTAAAGTTGCCCGAGTCCGCTACTTTAGTATGGCAGCTTGTTCCTACTTCAATACAGGCCCGATTTGCGCAACTCGTGGGTAAAACACGATCATAGGATGTCTCTATTGGGTTCACAACGCCTATCTCATTACACAGTCGAACCTCGTTTCAAGAACCTAATACCAAATTCCCAGTCTATAACTCGCCTCGCTTCCAACAACTGCCATGCAGAAAACCGGGAAAGACAAATTCATAACGACATAATCATTCAATCATCAGCCGTTTCTAGTCAGCCGCTCACAGATTACTTACACCAGCCGTGGCCGACAACTGCCCATGCTTTGCTCGATCAAGTATGTTCCACCCAGAAAATCCAATGTCCAAGAATCGCATCTTCTTCGTCATCCAGCAGTAGTAGAAATAACAGCGCTGTAAACAATGACAGCACCACCCAGGCCTCCAATACAAAAGAACAAACAGGTAGTGAGGAATAGCAAGCGCCAAACCTCGTATACAGAACTAGCGTTCCCAAGGAAAAGGCTTCTTCTAGCCAGCGCTCAACCTCTTTCCATCATGCAAGCTTATGCCCCTCGAAAGACAAAGGAAAAAAGTGTCATGGATCCAAGACTCTGAACAGCGGCAGCATGAGAGCAGCGAAGAAGTCTTCGAAGGGACTGCCAAAAGCCGCGTATGAGCCAACGGTTATCCGGAAAGTCATGGGCTCGTGAGGGGAATTTTATATATGTTTACCGTTGGTCCTTTTGTTCGGTCCGCTGTCGATTGGCGTTTCGCTCCGTCATCGATCCCGGAGACCCCAGCCTCTTGCAAACATAAGCATTTGCCCAACGATCATTAGGACAACTAGCACAGGCCGGATCGCCTTCTTCTCTCACAAACTGGAGGGTCTGGAATGATTCCCTCAAACAGGCATTCTACGACCCTATACCAGCGGTGCTTCCCAGTTATGGGCGCGTGGCATATTTCATTAGAAACTCGACTACAGCGTCAAGGTTTGTCTCTTCTTTCGCACTGATACCATAGCAGCATACCTCACGACCGCGTATGCTTTTCAGATCTAGTTCGTCGATCAACTCATCCACCGAAAGCTTATCCGGAAGATCGGATTTATTCCCTAGGATGAGAAGTGGGATGCCCTCAAGCGACTTGCGGCTCATAAGATCGTGGAGCTCCTCTTTGGCTTGCGGAATCAAGGGGGTGTCGGCAATATCAACGATGAACACGATGGCGCTGACGCCCCGACAGTATCTCTCCCACATGGTTCGGAACCGGGGCTGGCCGCCGATGTCCCAGCATTTTAGGGTAACATGGCCTCGCTGCACCTTTTTCATATTGAAACCAACGGTAGGGATCGAGCTACGCGGCACCTGGTGTCAGCATTTGAAACCTTCACGGAACAAAATATTCGGAATCCTCGCATCGATATCGCAGAAACACAAACACGGAGCCGGTGGTGGGAAGCGCTTACTCGAGGGTGAATTCGCCGCCCTACGAACACAACAAAAGTTAGCGGCAAGCGGTCAAGCGAGAAATCAGATATAAACACTCACAGCGAGGACTCGCAATAATGAAGTCTTGCCAGCATTTTGCAAGCCAACCATTGTCACTTCCATCTCCATCGCCCTGCAAGATATCGTCAGTACGCGGTGGCTTTAAGGTCTGCCACAACCAAGCAGCAACAGGCAGTAAAGAGTACAGTATTTGCTCTTAAATAAAGCCTGCTCAAGGTTACTCACCAGAACATGCGCATCAGCCAATTGTACACCCTTTGAAAAATCCCTGCCATATTTACTATGAGGTCGCAGAGGACACTGCTCGGATTGCGACAGGCGGTCGGGTGCAAGTGGGGTGCTGGTTAAAGCGAAGCTATGGCTGTGCCAGTTATCGCGAAGGCAAGAAAAACGCTGCTTGATTTGAGAACTGCTCCTCTTGGGTTGAAAGGCGCAAAAAAATCGATGTCGAAAACGATGCAGCAAGGTGTGGCAGGCGGGGGTGCTTTATGGACAGAGCAATTCTTGTCGATGCTCAGCTAGCTGCAGGGTCGTGTTGAAGGTTACAAAACAGAGACAGGGAACAGGACAGCGGTTCAAGAAGAAAAGCGATCTGTAGGACGGCGGCAGGCGACGAGTAACATCTGCAACTGCGAGGTTGTGCGCGCCAGCGTCTGGGCGTTTTGGGTCGGCGTCGGTGTCGGTGTCGGACGCGGGTTCTGGCGGCGATGGAAATAGTGAAGGAGGAGAGGCTCGTGGTGCAACGACGGAGGAGCAGTACCTAGATTGGCACAGGTGACGCTTGGGCGGAGGCACAAAAAAATGCCCCACCTAGAACGAGATGACGGCCGAGACAGAAGGTCGATGGTAGGTAGGTAGATATGGATGCCAGAACAGCTAAACAGGCACTCAAAAGACACCAAAAGGCCGCCAGAGAGACAACCAACGAGCAAGAGTCTCTGGAGCCCTTGAGGGGGCGAGGAATGGGGAAAGTGGTGGGAACGACCCGTGCCTGGCGGCGTAAGTAGCGTTGGATTTTAGCGCAGATGCAGCGCCAAAGAGACCCAGAGAGGTTACAGAGATGGATTTTAATCTGTTGTGTGTCTGGATGGTTGACTCAAGCTGTAGTCAGAGCACTTGCTGATGATAAGAAGTGATGAATATCCTACCACTTGATGATACCCAGGATATTTTCCACAGCAGTTCGATGAAAGTCTCTTAGCAAGAGCTCTAGCTATGTCGAGAAACTTGAAGCCTGTGCAGGGGTGAGCAGTATACGGGAGCGCCAAAAAGTAGTGATTGGGGACTGCAGGTTGTCGCGGGGTGTTGTGACATTCCAATCTTCAATCACCTGGCCCAGCTAGAGGTGGCAGCAGTGTGGGTTAGGCGCTGCGGCGTTTCATTCGCTTGCTGAGAGTCGAGCTTCCTTGGGTGGAGCGATGATCGACCAGGGCTACGCAGGGCTCTAAGACCGCATCGACGTCAGTGCTCAAAGTCGAAGTCTTTTTGAGGGCGCCTAACGCCGTTTTGTATTCAATACCTGGGGTCTTTGTCGCTGACAGAACGATTTAGAGGCGAGAGAGCACGGTAGATAGTTGTAGTAGGTGTTTGAGATTGTTGTTTTGGCCTCTTATTAATGAGCTTCTTTCACGGTTAGCTGCAGGGTCTTGACAGGGTAGAAAATGGCAAACAAACTCGCCTACTGAGTAGAGTGTACAGTTCTGACTTCTCAACTTACCTACATCTTAGGTTAACACTATATCAAACTATAGGGAAAATCATTTTAGTTCTTTCCGGGTCTCTACTATTCTTATACAATCTACAAATTACTTATCTTTCTCTCTTGGATCTACGAAATGTTTCGGAACTAGTGCACATCTACTGTTGAAGATGAGCGACTTGGTCGGCGATCGATACCAGATTTGCCCAAGCAAGGTACTCAACTGACCCAGCATCTTCTTGATTCAAATAATCGTGCAAGGGGCACCAGATCTTCTCTCGCAGTGCAGATTCCTTCGGATCGTAGAATTTCGAATACGGGCGTTTTCGAGGCTTGAACGTCGTGTTGTGTTGCAATAACACAACCATGTAAACTGCGGGTCTTAGTCAACAGCCAACACGAAGAGCCACAACTACAGTCTCTGATAACCCCAAGGACTAGCTACTGGCGAACAGATCAAGCTATGAGTTCCAACTATCTACAGGCCTCACGAGGTACTATACCATCCATCTATCATCCCAGCAAGGCATTTTTGCAAAGCAAAATAAAAACACGGTGTAAGCATCAACCAGAGAGGCAGCCTGTTGGCGGAATCGTGATATCTGATGACCTTGCCTCAGGTTACTTTGAAATCGAGATGGATGAATGAATTTACTTAGGTACTGGCAACGAGATCTTACCTCACAAGAGAAACCAGAGGGACAAGACCACTATAGATGCATCTTGCCATAAAATGTGCACCAAAGCGAGAGTGACAGATACCCAAACTCCGTCGTTTCCATTTGCCTGCAAGTCAAGATGCAAGGTAACCGAGGTCAGCAAATGGCCCATCCTCCTCGTTCGTTTCCTACATATTTGCACCCAGTCTTTGTGCCTGCAAATGCAGGTTGGGTTGGGCTGTAGTTCGGCTTTCAGGGCTTGGTGGCGCCAGGTTTCATTCAAGCAGTGATTGGAAAATCGTTGCTCCGGGCTTCAAGCTGGTCATGTCTTGTCACCCTAATGCCTCGTGGAGGTGGCGGCCGGGTAGATTGAATACTCCCAACGTCTCGTGTTTTTGCGATCTAAGCGAGTGCCTGTCTACCCTATTCCTAGTGCTGCTTTTTACTTCTATCCTATCTTGTCCATTTCATCACTGTAATAAATACAGTACTTACTTATACCAGCTATACAGGCCAAAGCAATCCTCTTGTGAATTTGTATCTTGGGATGTGCGTACGAACTTTATCCCATCTTTGCTTTCAAGTAACTTCGGGAATTGGCCCCCATTTTTCGACTTACACAGTCAGCGTCGTACCTATTTCCCAGGCACCAGCTTTAGGCTTTACTCGCTCTAGAAGCGGTGATTGGCAACACAAAAGAGCCAGACTTATGCTAATCGGACCTTGTGACTTGAAGACAGGTAGTTAATTCGTCACCATTCTCGTTTATTATCGTCACAGCGAAGGGTCCTGAAACCATGGGGAGAATGCACGTTTGGTTAGTTTCGCAAAAAGGTCGGATCTCCGGACCACTGGCTTTTGACGATATTCCCGTAATGTCATGATTTATCGCGAAGCGATTAGATCTATAGAACATCAATCATCACAATTGATCAAAATCTCGAGAGTTAGAATTAAGATATCCTATCAGAACTGTTTGTTAGCATGGAAATGATGGCAAGAATCGTTCCGCCATCGCGTGCCCCACTTTGGTGCGATAAGATAAGCTAGCGGATCGAATCCAACTTTTTTTCCGCCTTCATACCTAGCAACTTTTTTTTTTCTGCCTTTGCGATAGCCTCATTCATCCTTTGCGAGCGGCCAAATCGACGAATGTCTACCGCTCCTTACTATCCATAAAGGCAGCAAAGGCTCAGCAGACTTATAATATTTCTGCGACTTACCCAAACATCATTTGTTTTGGACATTGTGCTTTTGCGTACAACAAAGTACAACCTCACCAGCCAACATGGCACCCACAGCCACCGAAACCGAGTGGGATCACCAGTTCAACACTCTGCGCCGTGAAAATCTCTTCCGAAATCCTCCTACGGACCACACCGCCTATCCCGCCCTTCAATTAGCCGTCAACCCCCATATCGAATCCTTCAATGCTATCTTTCGTGACGATGGCAAGACTGGCCTGTTGGCGCATGGCATAGCCGATATTGGCGCTAAAACTTTCCTCGATGGCGACGACCGCGCCCCCTCGGATGGAAAGAACAGTGTTACTGTTCGGTACAAAGACGTCTTCCTACAGAAGCCTCAGGTCCCCCCCTCTAATAAGCTGGCCCGGAACCGCCAGGTTTTCCCCGCCGAGTGCAGAGAGCGTCACGTCACATACAGAGGAAGGCTCTCGGCTACTCTCGAGTACCGCATCAATGGCGGTGACCCGGTCGAGTTTACTCGAGAATTCGGCCAGGTTCCTGTCATGATCAAGGTTTGCCTCCTAACAATCTTCAATGCTCATGATTTCTTACTTACCGTAACTAGTCAAACAGATGCCATCTCGAAGGCAACACACCCGCGCTCCTCGTCGAGAGAAAAGAGGAGTCTGAAGAGCTCGGAGGTTATTTTATTGTGAACGGTATCGAGAAAATCATTCGATTGCTGCAGTTGAACAAGCGAAACTTCCCCATGGCCATCAACCGACCCAGTTTCCAGAACCGTGGCCCTGGTTACACTCCTTACGGTATCATTCTCCGTGCAGTCCGTCCCGACGAGACCTCTCAGACCAACGTTCTTCACTACCTCAACGATGGTAACATGACCTTCCGTTTCTCGTGGCGCAAGAACGAGTATCTCGTTCCTGTTATGATGATTCTCAAGGCCCTGGTGGAGACCAACGATCGCGAAATCTTCGAAGGCTTGATTGGCCCTGCCGGTTCCAAGGCAGCCGGAAACACCTTTTTGACGGACCGAATTGAGCTTCTGCTACGCACGTACAAGTCCTACAATCTCTACAGCAAGTCGGATACAAGGGCATTCTTGGGTGAGAAGTTCCGAGTCGTTCTCGGAGTTCCAGACACTATGACCAACTATGAGGTCGGTACGGAGTTCTTGCGCAAGATTGTTTTGGTACACCTTGGCAATATTGATGTCACCGAAGAGCAAGACAAAGAGAAGTACAAGCTCCTTCTCTTCATGATCCGAAAGCTGTACGCACTTGTCGCTGGAGAATGCGCTGTCGATAACCCTGATGCTGTCCAGAACCAGGAGATTCTGCTTGGTGGTTTCCTGTACGGACAAATCCTTAAGGAAAGACTCGACGAGTTCCTCAGCGTCAACGTTCGAGCATCCCTGCGAGAATACATGCGGAGGAACCCTGGTATTCCATTTACCTCTGAGGAATTCCGTAAAGAGTTCCCTAACAACATTTTCCGCAAGGCCAACGAAAACCTCGGTAATGCGTTGGAATACTTTATGTCAACGGGTAACTTGCAGAGTCAGTCAGGTCTCGACTTGCAACAAACGGCCGGTTTCACAGTCGTGGCTGAAAAGCTGAACTTTACGCGATTCATCAGTCATTTCCGAATGGTTCATCGTGGTGCCTTCTTTGCCCAACTGAAGACAACAGCCGTGCGAAAGCTGCTTCCAGAGTCATGGGGTTTCATGTGTCCCGTCCACACACCTGATGGTTCTCCTTGTGGCTTGTTGAATCATATGGCCCACAAGGCAAAAATATGTACGGATTACGTAGACGTATCCCGTCTCCCAACTCTTGCTACCGAGCTAGGAATTGTTGATGTCTCGTCTGCTTCCACCGACGAAAACGTTGTCGTTATGCTTGACGGCAAGATCCTTGGATACTGTACCCCTAAGGAGTCTATCAGAATCGCTGATTGCTTCCGATACTGGAAGGTAGAGGGTACCCACGGAGTTCCTCTGCAACTCGAGATCGGTTACGTTCCTCCTTCCAGGGGTGGATCTTACCCTGGTATCTATATGACTTCAACGCCCGCGAGAATGGTGCGCCCTGTGAAGTACCTTCCTCTGCAAAAAGAGGATTGGGTCGGCCCTTATGAGCAGCCTTATATGTCCATTGCTGTCGTGCCACAAGAGGTTGAATCTGGCAAGTCAACACACGTGGAGTTTGATCCTACCAACATTCTCTCTATTCTCGCCAACATGACCCCTTTCTCCGACTTTAATCAATCGCCTGTAAGTCTGAAATCTCATTCTATTCAGTTCTGAACTGTCAAGGCTAACAGATCCTATAGAGAAATATGTATGCTGATATTGCTATTGCCCTACCACTGCCCTTCGAAGTGCTTGCAGAACTAACAATCGACAGGTATCAATGTCAGATGTCAAAACAAACTATGGGAACTCCTAGTACTGCTTCTGTATACCGCACAGGTAAATTTTAAGATTTTTTAGCAGGGGAAAAAACAAAGACAAATGACTAATTTTTGATAAAGATAATAAAACCTATCAAATTCAGACAGGACAGACACCTATCGTTCGAGCACCCCTTCACAACACTTATGGGTTCGACAACTTCCCGAACGGTTTCAATGCGGTCGTCGCTGTTATTTCTTATACTGGTTATGATATGGACGACGCTATGATTCTCAACAAGAGTGCTCACGAGCGAGGCTTCGGCCATGGTACCATCTACAAGACAAAGAAGATTTCACTCAAGGATGACTCTCGAACGAAGGCTACCAAGAGCGTCACCAAGGCCTTTGGGTTTGCTCCTCATAGTTACGTGAGTGCCCAGTACCAGGGCATGTTGGACGACGATGGTTTGCCCTATGTTGGACGTCTGATCCAGGAGGGAGACGTCATCTGCGCCTGGCACACTGTAACTCCCGACTACAATGGTAAACTGGTGAACCTCGACGGTATTACTCATTATGAGAAGTACAAGGACTCGGAAGAGGGTTTCGTGCAAGAGGTCAGATTACTGGGGGCCGAATCAGGCAACGAAATCTTGCAAGCCATATCTGTTAAGTTCCGAATTCCTCGATCCCCCATTGTTGGTGACAAGTTCTCGTCTCGTCACGGACAGAAGGGTGTTGCTTCACAAAAGTGGCCAACAATGGATTTGCCATTCTCCGAGACTGGCATTTCTCCCGATATCATTATTAATCCACATGCCTTCCCCTCACGTATGACCATAGGGATGGTGAGTTTTGGACTTCCTTCGCTCTGCGTTTCTTATTCTTGCAAACTAATATGACCCTAGTTCGTCGAGTCGCTAGCAGGCAAGGCTGGCGCGCTGCATGGTCTCGCGCAAGACTCAACTCCGTTCAAATTCGACGAAGAAAACACCGCCGGAGATTACTTTGGCCACCAGTTGATGAAGGCCGGGTACAATTACCATGGAAACGAGCCCATGTACTCGGGTATAACTGGAGAGGAGCTTCAAGCTGATATCTACATCGGAGTCGTTTACTACCAGAGGCTACGTCATATGGTAAATACTCAGATTATAAAGATTGAAGAGAAATTGTATCAGCTAACCCTAAGCGAGGTAAACGACAAATTTCAAGTGAGAACGACTGGCCCAGTTGTACCGACGACTGGCCAGCCCATCAAAGGTCGAAAGAGAGGTGGTGGTATCCGTGTCGGAGAAATGGAGCGTGATGCTCTTCTGGCACACGGAACGGCATTCTTGCTCCAGGATCGTTTGCTCAACTGTTCCGATTACTCCAAATCGTGGATTTGCCGCCGTTGTGGTTCGTTCCTTTCTGTGCAGCCCACAGTGTCACAGTTCGCACCAGGCAAGAAGAAGGCCGCAAGCATCGTACGATGCCGCGCTTGCGCAATCAAGCTGGATGATTCGGAGGGAGTGGACCTGACCGAGGTCTCTGGGGAGATGTGGGAAGATGGACAGGGCAATTCCTGGGTTGGTGGTGACCAAACTACGCAGGTTGTTGTGCCAGGTGCGCTCAAGTATCTCGATGTGGAGCTTGCAGCAATGGGTGTCAAGCTCAAGTACCGAGTGGACCGCAACGATGAGCCTAGAAAGGGTCCGATGAAGCCTATGGCATTGGATGGCGTTCGGGTTGGAAAATAGACGGATATACTGTGCTGAATTGTTTGTTTTGCTGGAGCTGTTATATCTGGAGGCGGCCTATACATTCACGATGGTATAGCATGTTAATACGACTATGAATTACAACACTTTCCAAAGATCTGTCAGTGTCCTGCGGTGTATTGCATCTTTCCTGGTACACACCATGGCAACGCAATACGAATCTCCTTACACATAAGTAAAATCATTAAAACACCCTCACCGACTCTCTAATTTACAGGTTCTCGAACTATTTACTTGAATATGCTTGACTGACTGACGTATACTGCTACTCAAGTGCTCCCATTCTGCACCACCACTACGGTATGCTTGATAAGCAACAATCACTAATAACGGCAGAATGAGAATCGGACGTAAGCATCGGGTTTGGGTAAAGGAGACGCCAGGCAATGGGATTGAGTTTGGACATAATACTCTACTTTGTATTTTATCAATGCCAGACACGTTCTACTTAGTCCAAGTTTCAACTATATCGATCACCTAGACTTGCACGGGCTTTCATACATTGCATCTCCTTTTGATAGCACGGCACTCGGCATCGGACAGCTCCGAATACACATAAAACGGAGCTTGGAAACGTGGTCAATTGAGTGCAAGGGAAGACAGTAGTATGTTGCGGCAGGACCTTTGGCAGGGAAACCAAGTGATACGAAAAGCATAGTGCGGCTGCTTCTAGCCGAGACGTTGGGCGAATGGCATAATCATGAAAGAATGTTTGTCACTCAAAGGAGAAACGTAACAAGCCGTTCTGTGAATCCGTCCAGCAAATCAATACCACTGACTTATGGCTCAGAGTGTGTACAGCAACGTGGAAGTGCGATATCACCAAGTGTTGTTGTCCTGATATCTATCGCTGTTGTCCTTTGGACTCATCTCGATCCATGATGGATATTTAATGAGGCTTCTTCCTCGTCAATAATCATCAATTTATAGCTGATTTAACGGAGCAACTTTTCTACTCCTTCAGGATACCTATCGTCGGACGGACCTGCCCAAGATCGTTTTTTTTCTTCTTCTCTTTTACATGGAACACTTGCGCAAGAGCTAGCACCGCACCTTCCCCGGCCTCGCTCGACCTGCTCAAAGCTTTAGCTTGAGATTCCTTTACTTCAACTCTCTTCGACCACAATTTGGTTCTTTCTATTTCCCCTCAAATACCACTTCAAGTCATGCAGTGCCAAATCGCTTGGCTGATCACGCTTTTTTTCGCGTTTGCGACAGCGCAAAGTTATTCCTACGGCGTTGACATCGACTCACTCACTCGCAGACAAGACACTGGCCGAATTGTCGTCAAACCTCTTCCCCAAACCCGTAATGGCACTGTTCCCTTGAGGCCTGAGATCCGGGAGATGCAAACCGATCGATACAAATGGGACCTTTACATCCTCTCCATGAGTATGTTGCAGGATGTCGATCAGGATGATCCTGCGTCGTGGTATCAGATCGCCGGTATGTTTGTTGCACTGTCTCAATTATGAGACCGTGAAGAAGATCATGCTAACAATTTATCTGTTCAGGAATTCACGGAGTCCCTTTTGAAGCATGGAATGGGGTTGAGGCCGCCCCAGGAGCTAACCAGTCCGGTTACTGCGCTCACAATTCCGTTCTTTTTCCAATGTGGCATCGGCCATACTTGACTCTTTTTGAGGTTCGAACCACAGCATCACAATTGGCCCTCACACTCACGCTAACAATATTCAATAGCAAGAACTATACCGAATGGCCAACGTCATTGCCGGGATATTTCCTAACGGGACCGATCGACAGGCATATATAGCTGCAGCACGAGACTTTCGGATGCCATATTGGAACTGGGCAATGCCTGCTCCAGAGGGAAAGTCGCATCTTCCTGATATTTTCTGGAATGAAACTATCTCTCAAAATGGACCTCGGGGAGTCCAAGAGATACACAACCCTCTTTACTCTTACCAGTTTCATCCCAAGAACGCAACGGCCATGATATGGGCACCTGTAAGTACTTGCAATGTAATTTTGAGCGACTTCCTGCTAATCAAGCACTGTTTAGTTGAGAAACTGGAACGAGACAAAGAGGGCTCCAAACTCTACCGAGCCCGACGCCGACGACCAGGAGGAACCGACATCTGATAACGAACAAGTCAATAGGGCTCTTCTCTCAAAGCTTCCTGAGATACAGCGGCGCCTTTCGACTCTCTTCTCCAGTTACAAAGATTTTAACAGTTTCGGTAGCAAGGCTTGGGCTTTCTCAAACAATTCGACTTTGGACTCGCTCGAGTCAGTCCACGACATTATACACATCTTCGGCGGGCTCCAAGGACATATGACATTTGTTCCCCTATCTTCGTTCGATCCGTTGTTCCTACTTCATCACACTATGACGGATAGACTCGTCGCGATATGGCAAGCTATGAATCCAGACTCATGGGTGACACCCTTACCCGCGGGGGAGAACAGCTTCACGGTCATCAAAGGCGAGATGCAAGACTCTCAGTCACCCTTGACTCCATTCTTGTCCTCTGATGATGGCACTTTCTGGAATTCGGATACTTCCAGGACTACAGAAGTCTTTGGTTACGCATACGCCGACACAGATCTGACGGGGAAGCAGAAAGAAGATGTCCGACAAGAACTACAAAAGAAGGTGACAGTGTGGTGGGGAGGCGGTTCTGTATCGCTTTTGGCTGCCAATGAGCACGCTGCGTCTACAGAGTGGGTGGCCGAAGTGCGGATGAGTGTACTACACGATCATGCCTTTACCTTTGTCTACTTCTTCATAGGCAATCCTTCGGGTAACCAGGAGAATTGGCTCTCTGCGCAAAACAATATTGGCAGTGCTTTGGTTTCCGGTAGCTTAAACAGGACCGCTGTGGTAGGGGTACATTTGACATCTGAAAAGATGAGGGATTTGCAAGCCAGAGAGATGTCTGAGAGACTACAATTTCGAATAGTCGAGAACGGCAAGCCGGTTCACCCAAACGAAGTGGACTTGCGCGTAGATATTGTTGGTGATGATGGATCAATGATTAAGTTATGGGGTTAGATTCGAGGACTTTGAAGTGTTTAGGACTAAAAGGGGTATCTGCCATGACCTAATTAAGAAAGAGTTTTTCTTTAATTCTAGACACTCGATATTACCACTGATTCAAGAACTTAATCACGAATGTATAAGCGGTGGCAATGTTTCTGAAAGTTATTGTCCCCGTCCCTTCCTCCTCCATCTACCCCTTTATCTTCTCACGTCTCGATGCCAAGTTGCCGATCTTCCCAATATCCATGGTAGGACGGGCTGGCAAACTAAAGAGCGTAATAACTTAGGTCATCTTTAGGCCATAATCTCGAGAATTCGCCTTCCGGTAGCATCCATAAATCAGCTTCTCCCCACAAATCAAGCATCGTCTATACTCCTCCTGAGGAGTCCAAGGCCTTCTTGGATGCCCTATATTTTTTTTCTTTCTCTCCTGAGCGGCACACTTCACGCAACGCCCACGAATTATCTCTGCTCAGGCAGGCAAAGCAATCTCGCAGCCGACGCATACACGATTTTGATGTTTTACCTGGTCAGCCTCAAGCTTTTGCTTTGACTTATCACACAGATGCTTCGGCCGTTGTTTCCCATCATGACAGTTTTCGTAGTTGTGGCAAGGTTTGCAATATCCCCGATAATATCCCATCATAGGGAATACAACAATGTCACAATTCGGGTTTAGACATTCCCGTTCGATTTTAGGGTCTTCGGGAATCTGCTTCGGAGTAATGCCCTGTTTCTTCTTTCGCAACTTCCGAGCAATGGCCTGTTTCTTTCGTTGCAACTTCGCATTGTCATTCTTCCTCTTGCGTTTGCGGCTCATGGCAGCCTTTCTCAGCACATGTGTTCGTTGAAGGTGCCCCCCGTTTTTTCGCCGCTCGAGCACGCATAACCTTATTGTAACAGGCTTTGTATTTGTCTCTTCCAACTCATCTGTGATTGTTACATTCTGGAACTTCGCATATCAAAATATGCTCCTCCTCCTCCTCCTCCTCCTCCTCCTCCTCCCCCCTCCGCTGGAAAGAGCGAGACTCTAGGTCTCTTTCTGGGGATATGTAGGTTTTCGAAAGGCTCTGATTCTCGAACCCGCTTAACAGCTAGGTTTGGTAACCCTGCGGCGCCGTATATGCATTCCCAACGAGAGCAAACAGTGGCGCCTCCCTTTGTAGCCATTTTGCAATACATGCAATTCCTTGTCCCTGGTTCTTTCTGGGGTTTCGACTTTCGTTTGCATGTCGAGCACCGGCTCCAAGGCGAGTGTGTTGGCTTTTGGCAGTCAACACAACTCCTATTCAGATAGCGCACAAGACACCCATAGCACCTGTTTTGACCCTTTGCGTAATGTCCGCAATCAATGCATAAGCTTTTCGCCGGTCCGTTCTGGACAACCAGTAGGGCAAGGTCGATGTCAGTCTTCGTCATGTCCGGATGCTCTTCAGCACAAGCATGTGCATGTTGTCGGCATTGGGTCCAAAATTGCTTGATATTTGACAGATCGGTTAGGCCGCGGTGATGCCAGTACGAGTCCTCAACAATAGTTTGTGCCATCTCTTTGAGCTTTGGCTTCGGTGCCGAGAGTCGAGTGTCAGGTTTACCTTTCTAGCCCTCTGAACATAGTGCTTTGCTAACAAGCGGCAGGTCATGGGTCTTGCTGGACTGGGCTTTTGAAGCTGATACTGCGCTACGCAGATGAGCATAGATTGCGTTTGCGGTTCGATAATAGTTGAAGCTATTCATAAAGTAACTTGCTCCAGTTACAAGACTCCATAGTGTTATGGAACTGTCTTGCTCAAGCTTCTCTTCTACGTATTTGAAACATAGGTCTTCCTCAACTCTAATCCAACGAACGTGTATGTGGGCAATGTAGTCCTCGCCTCCGTATTCTGCACCACTAAAAATACGTTCGATCGCCGTACTGGCCGGTGACACTGCAACCTCTCCATCAAAATGCTTCTTGCACCGTGTTAACATGATGTCATATAACATCATGGTGTCAACGATCGCGTCGTGCCAACGCCAAACGAGGTCGGATGGCGCATATAGGCAGGTAACGAACCCAAGGTTGTGGCCTGCCAGGGATGGTTCTGTTCTTTCAAACCATCCCATCGGGCTCTCCCAATTTAAACGGAGGTGGGAGAACCTCATCCGGATTAAACCCAGCTTTGGTCAAATTCTCGCGATATAAATTCTGATTGAAGGGATTTTTTGACCATTCGGCCACCCTCATATGGGGAGCGTGTGCCTTCAACTCAAGCCATTCATCTTTAACCCAGGTCATGTTATGGCCACGTAGTTTCTTGGAAGATGGGTATCCAAATGCTTTTCGTATGGTCCTCTCTTCAGACCATTTCAGCTTCCTGCCGTAGTGGTTGGCAGCAAATGCCCAGATATCTTCCACTGTTTCACAGCCGTGGTTGACAAACCCTTCGGAGACGACTTCTCTCTTGGAATCGACTACAGCGACTTGGATGAGAAGGCCGCTGACAGATTCAACGTCCGTAAAAATATACGTCTTTCTTATCCTTAAGATCGCGAAGAAAGTTGGTCTCCTCGCTTGTAATCTCCTCGTAGCCTCTTTTCGGGTCGGTGAAGAATTCCAGGGCCTCTTGGGGCATCCGTATAGCGGCGACGGATTTCTTGCTCAGGGTCTCTTGTACGGCATTTTGTAGGGTTGTGCAGAGAGCAGGTTGGTAGATTTGTTTCAATGCGTGTGCATTGCACAATTGAGTACCCAAGCCAACTGGCTCTTGGCAATCAGGAGAATCGCACGTCCCACTGTGGTCGCTCCCAGGCTTGATCCATCTTCCTGCCTTGAACATCGTCTTGATCAGGGTCATTAATGCACCGCACTTCTCACAGACCATGGGCAGCTGCATGAACGCTTGGTAAAAAGAACCGCTCAATAGGCTCATTCTGCGTTGGAGGACGGTATTGGTAAGGGAAATTGTCTGTTCAGACGCGCAGGTTAAGGCCTCACATGGCCCCGGGCATTTTACCCCTTCTCGATATTTCACAACTCCGTTATAATTTGATCTAAGAGCTAAGAGGCTAATGAGTAACTGTTGTGGCATAGATTCGGACGTTCAACTTACCAAGCTTTCTTAAATTGTAGGATAGAATGTCCTCCTCTATTCTGACGTCTGCGTGAGCCAGAAGCTACTCAAATTAGTCGCCGCAAGTACTAAATGGTCTCAGGGTTTATGCCTTCTGATATATCGATACGGTTTCCGGTTTCGGACTTCGTTGTGGTCCCTTTATTGATTGTCCTTGGCGAAGGCCTTCAGGGATTGGTAATAACTCAGGGTATGGCATGTCGTATTCCGGAATTAGGTTAATGTACGTAACAGATGAATCAGTCATCTGTTTCTCCCCACACACCTCCTTGATATCTAGTATCAGGAGGGAATGGGGAGAATTGACGTAGATGGAATGAGTTTGAAGGTGGAACAGCAGGGATATGCGTTTGTGATGGTGTTGGAGGATATTGTGGATATTGGAGGCCTACTCCGAATATCTCTCTGTTCTTCCTGAATAATCCTCATGCTTACAAGCACAAGCATCCGAAAGCATAGCAGCGTTGTGCAAATCCAAGGTGGATTTCAACACATATCCCGAAGGAAGTGTTTACACATTTTTGTTGGTATTAGCTGCACTTCTGGGTCGTTCCGTACCCGGATTGTCTGTACGGGACAAATGCTGCAACGTTTGGCGTGTTTCACAAGGGATTCTCTGTCGTGAAAGACCCCTTCACACTCATCGCCATGGCAATCATCCGTTGTGCATGTTCCACCGGTTTGTTCCAAAGGCTCGGGAGAGTCCCGGTCGAGTTCAGAACACGAACAATCACTCTCGCCTGATTCAGAAATAACATCTTCATCCTTGCAGAAGATTTCATCATCTTCATCACCTTCATCACCTTCGTCGAGATCGATAAAGAGACCATTATCCTTATCAGAGGCTTCGTTGTTATCTGAACCAGAGTGTTCGTCGTCGTCGCCTTTGTCCTCGACGTCGCTATTATTATGCATGCCGTCGTTTACAGGAGTTCTCCTGCTAAGCGTACAGCTACGCAATGACTGTAAATTCACCATGTCAGTAATAAATGGCAAAATTTTTACAGGTGTTGAGAAGAATGATAGTAGAATTACTGTATCTTTGGAGTGAATCATTATACAAGAGAGCCTGACAGCACGTATCCACCTGCATAGGTAGACAATGGAGAAAATCTAGCACAGAGCTATACAATTTATATCGGTATTCTTTATTCCGTTTCAATAAAGACCTGAGTTTTCTGACAGCGGGCAGCCACCTGCCTAGGTATATGAAGGAAATATACTATAGAGCTATAATAATTAATAGACAGGTTATCTTGCGATTTTTATTCTCTATTTCATAACTATATAGCCTATATACCCCTATAAGAGCCTTTATTTATAAAGTAAAGAAATTAAATGCCTATATTATATCTATGAGATAAGACTTTGCTAAGTTATGATTTACGCCTAATATAATCTACATATAAGCTACAGAAATAACCAGCGCAATTTTTTTTTAAAAAGCCATGGTAATAATCATCTCATGGCTGCATAAAAATTCATGTATAATAGGTGTCTGACTTAGCAATAGGAACTAATGATATCAAAGAGCTCAAAATGTATTCAGCTACCAGTTTCATTCATTGTCTGGTGCCGAACTCCACGTTAAAAGAAAATCTCTGCAGTCCCAAGCGTAGGCGGTATGTCAAAACTTTATAGTTGAATTTACTGGTCGAGGTTAGGAAAGCGATAAGGACATAACAGCAAACCGAAGTAGACAGATGAGCTGGATACAAGGCTGTAAGTCTCGCCTTATGCCTATGATGCATGAATGTCAACGAATGCTTTGACTACCTAGTTGCTCTTCTGCCCCGTCTCACACATTTTTGTTGTAGGGTATCCATACGTTGAGTCTTTGGAAGTAGAGTGTGCAATCATAGGATCTGACAACAAGGTTACCAGCCAGGTAGAACAGGATAATATGAACAAGATAGAAGAATGTTGATAGAAACAATCTTTGAAAATTTGGCCTAGAAACTACTAAACTTTTATTTTTTAATTCTCGACTTGATTGGCAGCCTGGGATCGAGGCATCTAGAAAATCAAGGCGTAGATTGTGGTTAGAACCAGGGGCTTGGAATATGTTCAACCGTTTTGGGTCTGTGGCACATGTTCACATTGTTAGGTCTGGAGGGGGTATCAGAAAAGTTGATCCCTAAGCTTTAGGCTATAAGAATAAATGGCCTAAGAAGTATAGTCTAAGGGGCGTAAACTGACCTACTAAGTTCGTCTCTTTTGCTCCCAGCGGCCAACTTTTCTGATACCCTAAGGGAAGGCCTCTTGGTTACCATCTCCGAAACACCACAGTTACTACTGTTCTTTCACATGTCCATCAACATTAAATACACAAGTCATCGTGAATACCTTCAGTTTTCATCATTTCAATCGTTGCGAAAATGTCAGACTCGAGCATCCCATCTGTTCCTCCACCATGGACTCTCAAAGGCGACATCTTCGCCTTTCTCTTCTGGACGTCTCGCGCTCAAGCGGGCAACCTTCCAGAAATGACATATTCGCCTCTCGAAGCAGACTCAAGCTTTGCTAAAGACCAAAAGCCTCTCGGAGGTTTGAGTATGATGCAAATTATTAGATACACGGACTCCCCCGTTGGGCCTTACGATGAGCTTATCATGGCACCGGGCATGTTTGGCTATGAAAAGGATGATGAGAAGGGAAGAAGAGTGAAAGGAAAGGGTATCAAGATCACGAGAATTTATGTGTCGCAGAAATATACTTGCTATAACGGAAGGAAAAGTATGTTTACCTGAGTGTTTCTTTATGTCTTTTTGCTAATCCTCGCGACCAGATTGGAATGTTCCCAAGCACTTCGCCGAGTTCATATGGACTAATAACGCGGACGGTTCGACAACCGTAAAAGTATATCCTAACGACACAGCTCCCACAGACCCGACATCAGGTTTCTCTGAATCAGCAGTACCATCTTCCACTCCCTTCTTCCAAGCGACCTTCAAGCCCGTCGGATACACGCCTTCGTTCCCATTTCGAACATCATGGCTTAATTATCTTGGCTTTGACCCCACCCTTGTCTTTCCTCCGCTTCCTGAGGGGAATGGGAGCCAAGGCGAGCTCCCTGGCACTGACCGATGGTGCTCTATTGTTCCACAGCAGTCGAGCTCCAAGTGTAAGTTGGGTTGGTTTGACGTGGAGCAGCATCGTGACGAAGAGGGAAACTCGGCTGGTGCATATGAGAATTTCTGGCCTGGTTGGCGAAAATGGCAGGTCGGCTTCAAGATGGCAGACGCAGTCATTGGTTTTGATCATCCAAATACCTGGGAATCTGCCAGATCGAGACTGTAAACGCTGAATCGCATGCGTGGCACCGTGTATCTCTTTGTAGGTAGCAAACACATTGTCTGTCAGTCATTTCGGAACGGCACATGAGCTTGAGTTGCTAGTCATAACGGTAATATATAATTAAGCAAATGCTTATTTACCAAAACACCCCCAACTCCGATGCGAGATAGGGATTAATGAGGGATCACAACTCCAATCTCCCAACCAACAGGTTGCCTCCGTTGGCTCTCCGTATCCGTGTAAGAACTCCAGTCTACGCAAGAAACACAGATCCACTAAGCAGTCCACTGCTTGCCATCACGATCCGTACATCAAGTCATTAAACGTGTCCAATGCACTTGTACAAAGTGACCTCTTCAAACCAGCCCCAGGCATGGTTCTTCCAGGTCCCCATCCTTATCATCTCCTTCTGAACCTCATACATTGATAGGCGCACCTTTCCATAGCCATCAATGAGTCCAGAATAGGAAACAGGCCAATCGATACAATCGATTGCCGTTCTTGAACATCATATACCAGTAATATGTAGCAAAGGCCACTCATTCCTCGATATATCGCCCTATGGTTGTTTCACATTGCGTTGACGTCTTCGTTGCCGTGTCACCGGGTTTAACTTAACAACGCCCGATAGGGCAGTTGACCAACGTTTGCCATCGTGAACGGGCAGCTTGCAAGACACTGATCATGTCTAGCTCGTACTTCGTAGGTTCATTCACTCGGTACTCCCAGCACCCGCTTGCTTAGCTACCACTTCCCGGGCATAGAATTCGACCAACATGGTTGCGTACGCTTCCAGATCTTCCACCGGAACTGCGAGACGAAAGTCGTTGAGAAGAAGAAATTGGAGTTCAAGGTGGTTTAATTCAACGAGTGGCAATCCACCAACCTGCCCAATTGTTAGCGTCTAGTCGACCACGAACAGGCTACCAAACATAAATACATACCTTGGCATATCTCGAGTTGGTGTAAAAAACATCCGAGAAGAACTTGCTTGCACACGTCACGCCAGAGATGATGAGACGATGGATGTTGAAGCTATCAACAACGAAGTATGTTGCAGCAGCAATGGCAGGGTGTTCGGTAGGAGTGGCGGCCCCCTTGTTGCTGCTTGGGCGGCTTTGTCGAGTTGAATCAGCCATCTCCTCATCGTCGTCGTCCGCAAGGTCTGAATCGCTCTCATCTGTATCATTCATACCCTCGCCACGCATCGGAGTGTCCTGAGGTGTCTTTGTGTTCGTTTGCTGCGCCTGCGTCTGCCTTCGAATCTCTTCGTTTTTTGTTACCATATCGTTGACTCGCTCTGTCATGCGATCAAAATATACCAAAAGGCTAAGGAATACTTCGTAAGTGGTAGGGCAGTATTTGTGTATCCTCGACAGATAGCTGAGGATGGTAATGGCAGGAACATTCTTGCCATGAAAGGCAAGAACAGAATGATTCAAAGACGAGATCGAGCCACCGCTCGCATCGCCAGATTGGTTGGCCTGCTGCTGGTGAGCAACATTACGCTGCATCGCATCGTGCTGTAGATCATTTGTGGTAGTGATCTTTGTTAATAGCGCAGCCACCATCTCGATAATGTCCCCTATGGGCATGCCACTGATTTCATACTTCATTTGCTGAAGAGGGGGGTCGTTTAGAATGCCGGATCCGCCATTGCCAGATAGCAGGTCGGCGCTGGCCAGACTCTGAATATGTGCCAAGTCACGTATATGTATAACTGTCTGCTCTGGCGGTTGCGAGGGTGCGCCAGAGAGAGGATAAGCTGGGTTGGATATTTGGAAATCGTCGGATGCGGGGGATGGTTGCTGAGCAGTGGGGGTATGTGAAACTGAGCCGGACCGCGAAGCGTGACCTAGGGGACCAGAGTCCCTCGCGTCAGATGCCATAGACGAGCTCTTTGCATCATCGGCATAAGCAGGACCGGTAGCAGCAGCAGGCGATGAGGACGGAGGCGGGGAAGGGAAGCGTGAGGCTCCGCCGGTGGCCGACACGTGGGTGGTTTCGTGACCCGCTGCCGCTGGAGTAGGTGTAGACTCCGAGGCCGATGCAGATACTGTTGCTGTCGCAGGTGACCACGTGGTAGAACTATGGTTGCTACTGAAGTCGACGAGTTCTGCTGTCCGCTGGACTCGAGGAGTGGTCGAGTGTCGTGATCGGCTACCAGATCGATAGGATGAAGAAGAATCGTGTGAGTGGTGGTGTTGAAGGGAGGGGTTGGCAATCATGTTATGAGGATATGAGGTGGTGTCTGAAATGAAGTCGCCGATCACAGCTGCCATAACATCGCTATCGTGCGAGAGGTCGGGGTGTGTGTAATTATTAATTTAGACGGAGGGGTATCGCGTTTTGTCGCTAGTCTCGCAGAGTAGGTAGGTAACGTAGAGCAATATCGTAAGCAGGCAAGTATACTGTGGGAGAGGACAAAAACAAATTATTAGTCGTCAAGATCACAGACAGATAGCAATATTGCAGGCAGTTAATATCGCTTGGCAGAGCAGATGAGGAGTAGAAAAGGGTTGAGGGTAAAATGGAGGCGATGACGATGCCAGTAGCCAAGACAAGCAAGCAAGTTGAGGAAATCGAAAAGAATCAAGTCAAATGGAGGGGACAGAGTAAGGTAGAGGAGGGGAGAGGATCGGGCCGGTGGGGACGCCTGGAGTCAGAACAAGGACAAGCCTGACAGATGCTGGAGATTTTAGAGGCTGAGCGAACAGTCACTGGGGCCAGTGAGGGGAGTCAAGGTCAGGCTGACTGACTAGCAACAGGCCGCGTCCAGTAGGTGTTCAGGCGTAAACACTGGACTGGACTGGTCTCCATGCGACAAGACTCGCCCCTCACCAGCCCTCGTGGGCGAGCCAGCGGATACCGTGTGGTGGTCGAGGCAGCTGGCGACCGGATGGATGGTGGGGTCAAGTCCGCGCTGCGCCGATTCATTCTCCCCGACAAAATCTCGGAAGCGACTCAGTGATGCAACTCTTGAACCTAATTGGCGCATCCTTGTTCATCAAGTCAGGGTCCTGAGTCTTTTTTCCCTCTTCTTTTTCTGGACTATTCGAGAGTGCCCCAATGCGATCCGTGTCCTCAGTTTCGTCTCTGGAATCCGTCCAAGAGAAGGGAATTCCTGCTGGGTGGGGTGAGGTGTCATTCGTCGTCGATCATCCCCTGTCAAGAAGATGCGGAAAAGGGTTCATCCTCAACTATTCGTCGTCATTCAAGACAGAAAACATGGTTTGCGCTCATTGCAAAACTCCATATAGACGTTTGAAGATGTAGTCGGAGGGGCCAATACGGATATCGAGTTGCCACAACAAGGCCACACCAAGTGTCGTTGCACAGAACGGACTGATGCGTTTACTGTCGGCCATGGTAATTGATGTGGCGTTGCAGATTCGCATCCGTCCTGATAAGAGCACAGGCCGACGACGTCACCACCCCTGCCAGCAACATGTGCAGCCTATACAAACTCGAAGGTGTTTGGATGGCTGGCTTGGTCCCTGACAGTCTTCATCACCAGCCGTCCTGTCGTCCGCTCCTTTGCGACAGGTCCCGTCCGTCGTTGGGTTTCGTCCATGTTTCACAGGCTGAATGCGACGCTCGTATGTTGAGCGGTGACGATGTATGTGATACGCAAGGGCAAGTTGTACATTAAGGCACTCGTGACACCAGGCACATGAAACATATGAAAAGTGAAGCAAACAAATTGCACTTACCGAGGACCGAACAAATTAAATGTAGATTTCGGTTAGCCAGGACAAATTGCTGGCGGCGAGGAAAAAGATGACGCAACAATATTAAGGGAGCTACGCGCAAGATTCGACGGAGCGGGATACGATGTGGTGTGGTTGATTCATGAGGTAGGTGTAAGATACTCGTTGAAGAGCCGCCGAATTTGAAAGAGGAGAGGTTAAGTTAAAGGTAACAGCTAACAGCCGATAGGCAATGATTGGCTACCTTAGGTAATGTTGAAGCGTGATCTCAAGAGCGAGAATCAACAGGTTGCGTGTATTCCGGCAAAGGCGACGGAGACGGCGAGAAGCGGCCAACGGAGCGGAGGGCACAGGTTGGGGATAGGTCGAGGGTTCCTCCGATCAGCGCCGGTGGAAAACAAACACAAGATCGCCTGATGTCTGAAAGGATGTAGAAACTATAGTGATGTGTTGTGTATCCCGCTCTGATCTTTAGGTGTAAGAAACTAGGAATCGTTCGAGGTTTGACAACACATCTGATCGGGAGGCAGTTGACTCCAATGCGTCTAGGGAATAGTGGGCAATAGCAGCGGCGCAGAAATGTTGAAAACTCCGAGACAAACAAAAGAGACGCGCAAGCGAGCGCCTGAAGTTTGGACGAACACAACTACAAATCTTGGCCCAAACGTAGCCAAGTCGAACCGAGTCCAGGAAAGAGGTACGACAGCGAATTGAATGACACGGCTCTGAGGGATGTTTTGGCTCGGTCGACCAAAATAGCTTGGCCCAGATAATCGTATGGTCCGTTCACTGGGGCTGGTCTAGATCTGAATATTCCTAGCGTAGGGGTCTCTTTCCAGGTAAAGTCAGGCGAGTGGTTGTCGATAATGGTTCGAGCTCTCAATGGTGGGGTTAAGATGGAGACAAGTTGATCATCAACGCAATCATGTGTACTATTAACGTCTCAGGGTTCGTCAGGACTTAGTAAACAGATGTATATAAAAAGAAAGGTCGACAACGTGGAGATTCTCTGTATGCTCAATTGATGGGGAAGTGAAAATTAGGTATGTTACTTTTAATAGTCTCCGACGAGGAAGGTGTTGTTTGGGTCACTCCTGTTCCCCGCTAACATGCCAAAGCGTTAGGGAAGGATCTCACCATTTGTTTCCTTCCCATGTTGATCGGTTCGCTTAGGCAGGTATGATACATTGTGTTCTCCTGGGTCATTTGTTTAAAGCACACCTTCCCAAACAGATATTGGTTATTTGTAGATCAGGGGTTTGGCAACAACCAGAGATCAAAACCATTACTAGCTCTCGATCAAGGTTTCTGTGAGAAGGCGGAACTGACAAATACCTTAATAAATAATGCATAGGTAATAATTGCTCCTCTCAACAGTTTCTCTCATGGCAATGCTACGGATAGTTGATTATAGCCACCGCCGGCCCCTCCCTACGTTCCTAGAGCCAATGATTCGAAGCACGTGGGCACGTTTCTCCAATGTGACAGTCGTAGATCTCTTGTGTTCGAGTATGCAAGGTGTAAACCATATGTAAAACTCCAAACTACACACAGAAATTGGCATTTAAAGCGCTTCACAAGGTATTTCAAACGGATTCTGTTAAGCCTATCGTAACCCCATAATGCCTTGTGATATAACTAGTCCTCAGAGTATCAGAAAAATCGACCGCTGGAAGCATAAGAGACGAAATTAGTAGATCAGCTTATGCTCCTTAGACTATGGATTTTTAAACTATTTATTTTTATACCCTAAGACTTGGGAAGTTAACTTTTCTGCTACTCACTAGATAGCTAGTGTAAGTGTAACTCAATTTCGCTATCGTCACAACATACATAGCCTCAATATGGGTTTCAAAGAGCCCATCAATGTATCTCTTGGTAATGGATAAGCTTTTGAAGAATGAGTGGACAATAAGATAATAACCGCCGGCTATCTGCATGTTCACCATTTCAACCACGATCTGCACAACTCGCCACTAACGCAAGGAAACTCAACTGCCACCACAGAGTGCGTGGTTTAAATCACAAGACGGCTACTGTGCCTCTCATCTAAACATCTATGCTCTAATTCATCGTGCCGCCCTCTGCGTTATTTCCTGCTTGTAAGAAGCCGATATCGGGTACAGCCTATTCTGGATTGCAATCTAATGCAGGGCCATCGACAATATCACATGGAACTATTCCAACCCCGGAACCTTGAAGATGTTCATTTAAGCGAGCGACGACTTTCCCTGCCTCCTCATGTATGTACACGTGCTTCATAAACAACATCGTTTCTTGTGGTGTTGTTCGAAGCACAGATACGAAACTTGAATCACGTAGCTTGCGGCGGTCAAGCAAAGGCTGAGTCAATAGATAAGGCACAATTACCTGATCCTCTACTATTTGACCAGTTAGCCTATGTTTTTCGAGCACATGGCACGTGTTCTTATCAGATCCAACGCCCTACATCACGAGATACCTATAACGTAGGTCTTGTAAGTCTGTCATTTGTTGTTAAGAGTCCACTCTACGGCAAGTCTGGAGACACCAACCAACTCAATTGTCTTTCCAGGCTGCGTTCTAGAAAAGCGGTGAACAATTAGGTAGCCGCCTCAACTCATATGCATGTCATTGTGCACAATAGTTAATTTAGGTGTTTCGTATTAACAATCATAGTCCGGATTCACATACTCGGACTCAAGCTCAAGCCCGAGTTATCAAGCTGACACAAGCATCACATCCTTGGCAGGTTGCTCAACTCAAACTGCGGCCCGCTCCATATCCCATTTCCTTAGCACTTGAGATTCCAGTTCATTTGTCAGTGAGATTGCTAAAAGTGTTGACTTTCTTGATCTCATTATCTACCTAGGCATCTGTGGAATTTGTTTTCCTCATTCAGGCGCCCACTGTCATGGCGAGTTCCATAGAACTACTAATGCTAGGTCATTATTCCCTTCCTCGTCATGTCCTATTCACCAAGGACCATTACTCATGCCGCACAGCGTAGTCGGTGTCAGGGAGGTACAGGTGTCGGTCTGCTCCCTCCTTGGTGAGAACAACCATACGAATGACACCACCGGAACTGCCATCCCACTTGATAGCCTCCCTCAAAGCTCCCTTGACGAAGTTGACCGCATCGTCCTTCTCCATGCCCTCTTGCCAGTTGGCATCACAGTAACCATAGATGTAAGTCGATCCGGATCCACCAATGGCATATGCCTGCTTGTGAAGAGAACCACCCAGAGGAATGGAGTAGACTTGGCCACCGAATCGCTCATCCCAACCAGCAATAATCAGACCGGCACTGCAAACGGCGGTTAGTAGTCATTCTAATATGGAGGTCGGACTAGTAATGTCGGGACATACGATAGACGGTCCTTGTTGGCGTAACAAATCTCCTGGAAGATTGACGCAGCGGTCTGTGTCATGGGAGGTTTTCCGTTGGTCATGGCGAACAGCCCAAGCTGGTATTGAACAATATCGGCGACAGCCTGAGTATCGGCGGCTGAGCCAGATCGGCAGCACCAAATGGTGTCGTGTACTCTCGTCAACTTGTCTGTCACTCGGTTTGCGATGTAGGCACCGGTCGTTGTTCGTGAATCCGCACCTAGAAGGCAGGGGTTATTAGCTGCATCACAATTGGGAACAATAAAGCATACCCAGAATGACACCATCCTTGAAAGTAACTGCCATACTAATAAACTGTTAGGCCATATCGTTTGCATCATCAATGAGTTACGTACATCGATGTTCCCAGGCTATAGACTCGTTAGTAAGCTGCGCAAGGAAATGGAGAATACAGATCAATACTCACTTGACCTCTCCCTTCTTGAGACGATCCATATCTACATGGATACCATCTGGCGATATCTGTAAGCTTCCATGTCGATAGCTATGACGAAAGGGTTCCTAACGCACCCTCATTCAACACTCCAGCGTTACCAAACTCCATTATGCCGATTTTTTAGGTAATTTGTTCGAAGTTGTAGGAAGACGGACGATCGGTTGGTCAAGCGTCGTGAGTCGTAATGTTTCGTTGTCGTTAGTCTTTGCTTGGGGAGGGCTGTAGCTTAACTGAAGCTCAGGCAAGGCAGCTCTGAACGCGCAGCCGCGCCATGGCTATTTATCAGCACGTGACCATACACGTGATCTGAACTTGATGGAACAGGACATCAATGTAATAAACATAGGCTGTTTAAATTAATGGCCCGGATTTCTTTACTTTTGCTAAGACGACTCATTCTTGAACTCTCTCAGTGTATGTATATGTAGCCACGCAGTTCTATCATTAAGCAATTTGAGTTGCAGCACGCTATGTATGAACAGGCCGGTCCAGCCGGAGCCAGTATATGCGGATTTCTTTCCTGTCCGGAATTACTCGTGCATCATCGATATCTGATTTGTAGACAAGCATTCTAATGTTTGTGCAGCTCTTGATCAGGTCCCTCACCTGCGACGCCCTCGACGCCCTCCTTCTTATCCTTATCACCGCAACCGCAGTCGTAGAAGTCTCCGATGTTCTCACAATCAAACAGAGGCTTGTGTACCCTCTCGTTAACTATATTGTGAGCAAAGCACAGCCACCCAGCGGCTGCGTTGCGACTGCTCGTCTGAGGAGGGTATTGGGCAAGTAACTGTCGGAAATGCTCCGCACACTGGCCGCAAGGGTAAAGTCGGGCGAAGAGGTGCATGAAGGTCTCGAGGGTCATACGGTCCTCCTTGGTCGGCTTATCGGGGAATCGAGCCATCATTGTGTGGAGGAACTTCCACGTCGCGTGGCCGAGCTCAGCTCTGGTAGAAGGTGTGTTAGTGGCACGTTGTAAGTAGGTTCAAACTCAATCAACATACTTTAACGTCGCGTTTTCGAGCTTAGGCGCAATAGACTCGCCCTGGAGGAGACCTGCAGGCATAGCGTTGAGGTCCGCCACGAACTCAGATCGAGAAGCGTCTTTCAGGGGCAATTCAACGTCATTTTGAAGTTTGGGAAGAAGGACATTGCGCGTAGGACCAGAGAAGAAATAAGACAAGGTAAAAAAGACACCTAAGACCAGTATAAAGGTCAGCGTCAAGTGCTGTCGACGAGCCATGGTTGAAGCGTTGGTTTGTAAGAGAGTGAGATGGAGGTCAATCCTCCGTTTATGGTCGATGGTTCATGATAAAGTAGATAAATTCCGGCCTTGACCTGTATCGAACGAGCTGCTAACCACAAAGTCCACTAGCCAATTTCAGTAGAGGACCCTGCGTGTCCTGACGCAGTGGGAACAATTGAATTCACACGAATCATATACGAGGACACAGATAAAGTGGCATGAGGTGGGGCCGGCCGTCGCCAGATCGGATGCCGGTTGAGATGGGTGGATCCCCGAACATCTGACGTTTAACAATCGAGTATCGTGTAAGTGAGTTCATGTATTAAGTTCGTAGCTCAAAGTTTTGTCTATTTGGGGCTCTGAGCTTGAATCATAAACTGAGTAAGGTATCAAGCTAGTATTGAACAAGCAACAAGAAGTGTTCACATGCAGTAAACAGTGCATGTCCATCCACACTTCTCCAATATATGTCATTCAGATATTTGTTTTTACCAGTGATATTTATCGAGATATCAACGAGAACCTATAGTCTTGTTTACATAGATGAAACAAACAAGCACATACGACCCGATCATTAGGAGTTGTTTGTTGTACAGAGACACAAGGAGATGATGTGTCTGGATCCTCGTGCGGCTACCCTATATAATGGATTTTAATACACAGCTCTTGAAAGGTCAGTCACCTTGATTTGTATTACTTGACGAGAGTAACAAGTCTAGTGGCTTACACTGTGCCTATGACTGTGTGCTTATTGCTATACCAAATAAGCCATCCCGTTATTGAATATATTCACTAGATATACAAATAATACTTCAGCACTTAAACCACATTGCTCTTGACAAACATGAGTGCTTCCGACAACTCATGCTTCATGCATTGCAGTTTCACGGACGATATATCGAAACACTCGATATTCATAGTTCACAATTCCGAACACACACACACGCCAAGAGCTTGACACAAGAAGATCCACTCGATAATTCCCATGAGTGAGTGATGAGGCAACGCCCCTATACTGACATACGAGTCTTTGTCATAATTTGAGTGTTTCCTTTCTGGCAGAGACCAAAATTGTTTGCTGTAAAGGGTGATTCAAAATAAGGACTTGATCGAAAATTCCATTGCCATCAAGCCATGTCCTCAACGTCTTTCTGTAATAGGGATAGTCTGATAGATAGAGACAAAGCTATGTATAGCAACAGCAACACCATCTCTATTGAGGAAGAAATTTGAATAGAGCCACATCTTACTACTGCATCATGGATCCTTGGCTTGGAGACCAGCCGTGCAGAACTATTTACAAGCCTCGCCGGTGTATGTGACGTATGTGCTGTAGTAAATAGCCCGGCCACCCGGCCACCTCGAAGTAGAGGAGGAACAAAGGATGATATGTCTTGGTCTGCAAGGCATTCTAATCAAGATAGCAGGGACTGCCAGAGACAGACGCTCGCGTTTTAAACCAAGACAGCCATGACGAAGATGGCAACGCTGGCATGCCAACCGTATGGACAGCTGTGAGGGCACAGATGAAGTTGGAGAGACAGATGTCCGGACACCAAAACAATAAAGCTCCCTCGCAGAATTAGTGCCCACGAGAAGTGAGACAAGACACAGCCATAGTGAGAGGCTGAGATTTCAACCTCCTATTTGCATGGGTCTAGCCTTGTAGACCGAGCATCACGACCGACAACAAAGAAAGTGCCACAACCAGCGAGGACAAATAAGTCAGGATATCATGGTTTTCGGACTGACCGAACGAGACAGCCACGATCTTAGGAAGCACATTAGATTAGACATATGTTCTTGACACTTGTCACGAGATATGCTATTCGTCCGAGTCCACTAGACCGGCTGAGAATAACGAATTCTGAGCTCAGCTGGCAATCAAGTCTGGAAGATCCGTTCTGTCGGTTTAGAAAGGCAATAGTTCACCCGTAAGCGTGACGAGCCGTTGGCAGCCTCGTCTCAGGGGAACCTGCTGTTCCTCTAGCTTGAACCAGCCGAATCGGAGGGATAATCGCCGAGAAATGGTTCCGAGTCACCTGTCCCTCAAATGTTTCTCAGTAGGTCACTCGTCTCGTTTCAGGCAGAGTCACCTCTTAGCATGGGTAGGAAGACGCCAAGCCAGGTGGGCTGGTAAGGGAAGATGTTGACCAAAGCAAGCCAGAAACCTCTTTTGGATATGTTTCTAAGAGCGGTAGGGCAGCAACGGCTTGCCATGGCCTGTGTGCAGTAGTGACGATGGTGTAGGTGCGCGGACATTTTTCGATAGTAGCAGAGTAGCTGCCGTTTGCACAGTCGATTTAGTTGAGAGAGCTATAATAAGACAAAGAAGTTTCCACTGAACCACAAAACGGCTAGATAAGTTGTGACCAGCAAGGTACTATGGAGACTTGGTGAGATTAAATGCACCTTTGCAGGTCCTTGGCAACGAAACCATCACGATCAGCAGAAGCGAACCTTGCCGAAGTCGGGTAGGAAAAAAACGGTAGAAACAAACGAAGCGGATATCTTGACGAGAACATGAATCGAACGACTGGTGTTGAGATGGCGTCAAATGATTAAATTACCAATACGGCAGATGTCCTGGAGGCTTACAGGGGAGGGCCTGTTAGATTGAGACCAAATTAGGTCGTGGACATCCTAATTTGGCGAGAATCCCCCTGGACTGCGTTTCCTTTTGCCAGAAGCCTAAAATCGGTCGCTACATTTTTGACGAAGCCAGAACGGCCGCTATTGATACTGGCTGCTTCAGGTGAGTTCAGATGGTGAGTCCATGCATGATTCGCGAGTCCAAAGTCAAACTGACGATGATTGTGTAAGTGGCTGTGCAACTATGGCACGGTAGGGCGAAAGGAATGTGTATGGAAACAATCTCCGTTTGTTATGCACTGACTTTAGAACGGCGGGCCAGCAAAAATACCTACTATAATGCATTCATAGTATAACGGGCGCATCTATTGTATTCTATGTATAGGTAGGGAAACACACGCAGAGACGGCTCATGCGGGTCGACGGAAGACTAATAACAGCCGAGTAACACCTAAGAAAGGGAGAAGATGTGACGGTAGCAACAAGAAACAGAAGTAAAATGCACGGACGGCATCATGGTAACAATAGTCTGCAAGTAAGATTGGATGTGGTGATAAGTATGTAGGGATGAACATAGTAAAGTAGGAATGGCTACTAATAACCTCCATGACAATAACCTCGAGGTCCACCAGGCGTGCCCCGAACGTTAACAAGGAAGGATCTCGGAGTCATCTGTAGATCATTTATGGTGACAGGTAAGTTGAGATGAAATCCATGGTCATACCGATCCAATCGTGGAATAATTCTTACACATCGCTACGACGACACGAAAAAACCATGTGCAGAATTTGTTAGTTGAGACATTTAATACAGAAAATATTCACTGACTGACGCGCAATCTCTGGGACAGTTTGACCAACCGAAGCGCTGTATTTCTTTGCATTTTCAAGCGTCCACGTGGAGTTAGAGAATTCGCTGCCCTGCATTGAAGCCAGCCACGCCCTGTACTCCTTTACTTGGGTGAGTCTGGCACAAACACGAGCGATTCTTCTTGTTATCATTCGAACGTTGTCTTACCCATCATGGCCCTGTCAAGCCACCATTGTACTCTGCTGCAATGTCATTTCGCTTGCAGCTCAAAGGCCTTGGAAGCGAGAGACATGGCTCATCAAACTGTCATCTATCAGATCAACGCATGCATGTGCTTCCTTTTTCTTCAATCAAAGCCGTGATCGTCAATCAACCTCATCAACTTGATTCCTGCCGAGTAGGACCCGCAGCAAACAAGGGAGACTGGCCCAGATACGGTACTGGTCCCATGCCACGGACCGGCCAGGAACAGGGTCATTATAATTAAAGGCTTGAGTTCAAGTGGCGCCGCCTAGACCAAGCTAGGTGCAGCTAAGTCTTTTCCAGCGGGTCTTTTCGTCTTGTCACCAAGGTGTAATTGGTGTTTCCCCTGTGCTCGACTCCATAGCAGTTTGGTTCCTGGATCACGGCGCTATCCATGCTGCCATGCCACGGGGTGGCCCTCTTGGGCTGTCGACTAACTCATAGAGGACTAGAGCCAGGTAGCTTTGCCAAGGGTTTACCAGTCGGGAGCCTGCTGATTTTGGTTAGCAGTTTCTACATGATTGGTTATTACACAGTACCTTGATTCCTAGGAAAAACTGACGCAACCTGGGAGTATTGTTGGAAAGACAAGTTTGTATCGCCTCAATCTGCCAGTCGCTTGTGAAACCGTTCTGGGTAGTTGCATCACCTCTCCCATGCGCTCTTGTTCATCTTCCAGAGTCTCTCGTTAGCTTATCAAGAAGCCACTGTCAAGTATTGTTGCACACCAGCCACGCATTGGATCTCCGGTTTAACAGGAGGGACCTTGTTCTTATTTCATGGAAGTATGAACTACCGAAGACGGTCAATACGGCGTGTGAGTGCTAAGCGAAAGCATTTATCTTTGGATTGATTCTTTTCAACTCTCATCGCCATGGTCACATTGGCCCCTTTTGAAGATTCTGGACCAAGACGACTAGTATCATTACAGAGAGTGTGTATAGAGTAGATACGTATGCATAGATTTTTTGCTTGCTACATGGCAACTAACTTATAATTTGACTTTTACACATGGAGCAGCTTCCCGTAGTTCGGAACGTCCCCGGTTACAAAAGAAGGAGAAGCAAAAAAATCTGGAGTTGTAAAACGTGCACACGCAAGCTGCTTCCATAACAATTATGCAAGATGGATAAGATGGGCGAGAGCGCGTCAGCTTATGGGGACATGAGTTGTTCAAGATGGAGCTAGGCCTTGATGAGCGTTAAAACCCGAATCTCGCCAATCATATCACGCTATCTCCAGGGCACCCCTACAAATAGTCTCTCAGTGGTCTTTACACAACCATTCACAACTCGCACAACTCGTCATCCCCTCAACACCGCATAATTGATTGACATTCCACAAGCTTTGAACTTGACTCCCCCGGCACAAGAGAGACACAACCAGTGTTTTGGGACTCGACGCTACGACATGGTCTGTTAACGCCGCTGAACCATTGCTGCAGGTGCCGCTACAACTGCTACAGCATAGCCTCGATGGCATGGTATGCCATGTCCCTGACTGACTCTGCTTCTGTTACCTGGATGCCGCACCATGGCATGGTATGGCTCACCAACATACCGGTTCATTGGTGTTACATACGACGCGCTTGCATCAATTTTCATTATTGAGCGAGGCAGAGAAGACTCTGCTACATGCCGCTTATTCACGAATTATCCACCGAACTGTTGATTGATTGACTGACTGACTGTGCCATGCCCTGGCATCGACACCGTCTGCAAAGAATGCAGTAGTCATCGTTGCAACAAAGCAATCTCAGCCACACCCTGGCTCTTAGTCCACGGACGCAACGCAACGCAAACCCCCCTTCTCTTCGGTGCGCAATTTCAGTTCTGGCGATTGTGTTAGCAGTTCGCTCTCCGTGCTGCTCAATTGAGTTAGACAGTCCACCATTACCGCCAATAACCTGGACAGGTTCTCCCTAATGACCTTAGAACCCTGGGGGCTTGAGAGGGGTTAGTCTGGCTTTTGGCGCCGCTGGCCGTTACCGTCGCGAATCATTTCAACGGGTACGACAAACGGCCAAAGGCGATCACGAACGCAGCCTCAGTGAGGAATACGGTTTGGAGGCAAGGTTAGATAGATCCCGAGAGATTGTGACAATGCTTGAAGAAGGCGTTGAAGCATTCCCCGAGGTGACGGTGTACCGTGCAGCACTTTTCCTTAGCCGACAGACACATCTTATGTCTTGCTGAGCGCTATACTTTGAAACAAGCTCTTCGGTACATTGCTTGACCCTGCCATCATCACAGCATTGGTTGTACCTGTCGACCTCGTTGCGAGTACCCATCGCCCATTCAAGCTCAAGCTCCAGGGGTGGTGTGGATGCCATCCCCATTTTCTTTGTTCACCCGTTACCGTCGTCTCCCCAGGTTAGGTCCACCTGAAAATGCGAGTTGAGCACGGGAGCATGAAGCCGCCCAGTGTGTCCAGCGACGTTGGCGCTGGAAAAATAGGTTGGGTGCTGCACAGATGGACATGTATCCGCTCGTCAGCCAGGTTGAGTTAGGTGCATCTCAGTTCAGTTCAAGTTCAGGGCACACTTTGACTCTCGTTCAGGTCCACATCAACATCCATGCTTGGGTCACACCCCCTGGATCCCCGTCCCCTTGTCCCTGTCGTGTTTCCATGCCCTTCCCATCTCCCCATTCCCATTCGCCTTCATTCCTTCCTTCCATTGCTGTTGGCCCTGTCGCTGTCCCTTCTTTTCTCCAGTCGAGCATTTTCTTACATCTAGTACTTACATACTCTTTATTCTCCTTCCCGTTCTCTCGTTTCTCTCTCTCCACATCGACCTCTCCTCCAACGACAAGCATCAAAGGCGTCGTCGTCCGCTATTCGATTCTCGACAGCGCTTCTGCGTCTGAAAGCCGATCCCTCGCGAGACCCGTTTACGACTTACCCTCCTTTACTCACACCGAGTCTAGCTACCAGTAGGACCTCAGGAGGTTCTCGCAATTCAATCAGCAAATGTCGACGAAACGATTGATTTAATCTCACCATCAATCAACTCGACTGTACGTCCAGACATCGAACCCGAACTGAGGAAAGCCTGAACGACACGCGCCTGTTTCGAATCATTTGACGATATTTCGTCTGTCACTCTTTTGAATTGTTTTTGAATCGCATATACATACGCTCTACGCAAACTATATGTGAGTTCCGATCCTATATACAACTTGGTCGCCATGGCTATCAACAAAAAGAAGGATTGATGGAATGAGGGTGATTGTTGATAGCCACCGAACGCGTTGTCACACATCCTGAACGACTGCTAACATGCGAGGCAGATCACACTCGTTGACATTCGTCAAGTACATTCGCTGCAACCCAACCCTGACAGTGAGTTTGACGACATTGGCGACATCCGCACCCATCTGACAACAGATCCAGTATACACCCGAACATATTAATTATCAACACCGAAAATGCACGCCAAGTCCTTCGTCCTGGCTCTGGCTCTCGCCTCTTCATCTGTTGTCGAAGCCAACCGACCGCGCATTTACTATCCCCGCCAAGTTAAGAGAGAAGTCGTCAACAATGCCGCCCCTGTAGTGCCAGACAACAAGGTCGTTCCCGACCTTGAGAAGCGCGACCCTCAAAACTCATTTCTTGATCGCCTCTTCAGCAACAACAACAACAACGATGACACGGCTTCTACTGGAGACAAGGAGAGTGGCGTCAACTTCGACCCTACTATTCCTCTAGGCCTCAAACGCCCTGGCCCCAGTGCCAGCGCTCTACCATCTGTCGTTCTCCAACCCACAACAACAAGCATGGCGATTGAGGAACCCGAGACAACCGAACCCGCCGATGCTCTTACCGAATCCGACACAGGCATTCTCCTTGCTCCCAGCGGAATTGTCACCAGCAAGACCGCCGTCAAGTCTAGCCAGCCCGCCAAAACATCGGCTGCTGAGCCAAAAGAGGAGACTGAAGCTGCTCCCGTCGAGACCGAGACCATTGTTCAAACCGAGGAACCTGTTGTCGCTACCGAGCCCCCCAAGGAGGAGACACAGCCTGCCGTAACAACAGCACCTGCTGTCAAGGAGCCCGAGTCTGTGAACACCCCGAAGGAAAAGCCTGTCGAGTCCAAGACTGAGGCACCTGCTCCTGTTGAGACTACGGCACCTGCTGAGCAACCCGTCAGCACTCCCAGCAACAAGCCGGTCGTTTCGACAACCAAGAAGGGTCTCCTTGATCCCGTCGAGACTCTCTTGTCTTCCATCCTCCCTGTCCCTGCTGAGTCCAAGACCACGCAGCCTAAGCCCGTGAACACCGAGACCACCAAGCCCAAGGAGGAGACACAGCCTGCCCCTATCGAGACCACCAAGCCCAAGGAGGAGACACAGCCTGCCCCCGTCGAGACCACCAAGCCCAAGGAGGAGACACAGCCTGCCCCCGTCGAGACCACCAAGCCCAAGGAAGAGACACAGCCTGCTCCTGTCGAGACTCAGCCTGCCCCCGTCGAGACCACCAAGCCCGAGGAAGAGACACAGCCTGCTCCTGTCGAGACTCAGCCTGCCCTTGTCGAGACGGAGACTGTTCAGCCCGCTGACAGCGAGACTAAGAGTCCTTCCGCTGAGAAGCCTGCACCTACGACCAAGGAAGGCCTACTTGATCCCATTGAGACACTCCTGTCTTCAGTTCTCCCAGTTCCCGCTGACAGCGAGACTAAGGATCCCCAGCCTGATCAGACCGAATCCGAGCCTCTGCCAGAGGAGACTGGAACTCCCACAAAGGAGCCGCAGCAACAGGAAAGCAAGCCCCAGACTGATGGCCAGACTCTTCCCACCGTGAGCCCTCCAAGTGACGAGGCTACTGCTGCCCCAGGCTCTGCCCAAACATCCAACGATGGTCTGTTGGATCCTGTGGAAACACTTCTCAGCTCTCTCCTCCCTGTTGACCCATCCGAGGTTAAGACCACATCGCCTGAGGAGACTGCATCTCCTGATACTCTCCCTGCCGAGGCTCAGCCTACATCCGCTGCTGGTGAAGAGACTGGTTCCGAGCAAACTGTCTCTGGAGCTCCTGTGACCGATCCCGAGACCACTGGCCTGTTACCTGATATCATCCCCACCAGCATCCTTCCTGAGCCCACGCTCCCACTTGATGAGACCGATATTCTGCCTATCCCTACGGATGTCACCGACGTTACCTCTATTTTGCCTGAGCCTTCAAGTCCAGTCACTGTGTCTCCTGTCATTCCCACAACGCTTGCCCCTGAGGAGTCCCAGAGTGATTCCCCGGATGTCACATCGTTCGTTGACCCTAACACAAAGCTTATTGACCCTACTGAGTCACCCAATGTTACCCTCCCTGATGCAACCTCTGGTGTTGGTTCTCAACCTGTTGAGACTGAGCTTCCTCTACCCACAACTGAGCCTGTCAACGGTACCGAGACCCAGCCTGCCAATGGCACTGAAACCCAGCCTGCTGCTACTGGTGAGCCTGAGACTACTGGTGCTCCCGAGCCCACCGAGGATGTGACAGAGGCCCCTACCGTTGCTCCCACAGCCACCGGTGCTGCCTCTGAGGAACCAACTGGTGCTGCCTCTGAGGAACCCACTGGAAACGCAACTGAGCCTGCTACCGAGCCTATTGATACAGCTACCGGCTCAGCTCCTACCGAGCTTCCTGCTACTCAGACTGGTGATGAAACCAACGGCACTGCTACTGAGGAGCCTACCAGCCCTGCCACTGGAGTCGAAACTGAAAGTGCACCTATCGCAACCGATGGCGAGGAGACCTCCGCGGCTCTCCCAACTGTCACCGAGGTGCAGCCTACAATCCAGCCCACCTCTCAGCCTCCTGTTGAAACTGAGACTCAACCTGAGCCTATTCCTACTACCCTGGTCCCCACCGCTGCCGATCCCATCACTAGCATCCGACCTACTGCTACTCTTACCAACACCAACAACTGGCTGCCTACCACCATCATGTTCGAGCCTACCTCTATTCCCGCTGCTCCCACCCAGGCCACCGAGACTTCGACCTCTACCGGTCTCCCCGCCAACATTCCCCGTGTCATCCTGCCCAACGACCCCAACAAGCCTATCCCCGAGGGTTCTCGTGCCATTCAAATCGGGTTTCTCTTCCCCTTCAACTACAAGTTCCTCGCCCGCAACACCGTTGCGGCTGCCCAGCTCTTCAAATACCTTCCCAAGGGTCTTGCTGATGCTGGTGGCTTCAGCAAGGACCGTATTCTGATCGAGAAGATTATTCCCATGGATACTCAGTCTCAGTGGGGTTACATCACTGCTCTGGCCAAGATTCACTACCCTGAGAACATGCTTGACAGTCTCCAGGCCGATCTCATGACGCCCAACTCTCTCCTATACAATAACGACCTTGAAATCGTTCGCAACCTGACCTCTGTCATCAACAACAAGATCGACATCTTTGGCAACACCGAAAATGGTGCCAGCTCTGACAGTGGTGACTCGGAAGACAGTGGTAGTGGCGGCAACGATGGTTTCGGTAACAGTGGCGAGGGTGACAAGACCGCCAAGCAGAAGGCTACTACCGCTGGTATTGCTGTTGGTGCTGTCGGACTCAGTGTCATGTACGGTGCTGCCATGTTCCTGGTTGCCCGCCGATACAAGCGCAAGAAGCAGCTGGGTCACCGCCGAGCCAGCTCCATTGGTAGCAGCCAGCGATCTTCCGAGATGCAGTACAACGGCAACGGCAGCCCTGCTCTCATGGGTGGTGCTCTCATGAGCCGTGATTTCTCTAACTACGGTGCCCAGGGTCCCCAAGGTGAAGCACCAGCTCGACCTGGTGGCCGTGACAGCCATGGCAGTGGACGCAGTGGCATGGGTAACTCTGCCCGCACAGCCTTCATCTCCGCTCCTGTAGCTGCCGAGAACTCTCTTGGATGGAACTGATCAAGCTGATGCCCAAACATTTAACAACCACAAAAAAACCTATACCTTTTCACCAGTGCACCATTTTTCTTTTTTTAAAACTTCGATACCCTTCAGGTGGATTGTGATGACCACACCTACCAACCACTACGACGCGGTGATCAGCTTACCACTACGAAAACCGTTCCGCATGAGCCCTTAACTCGAAACGTTCATTTACCATGCTCTTCCTTCATCATGTTGAGACGACGATGCGATATCCGCCTTGCTCTTCATTATAGACTTGCTGGTCGGTAGGCTTCCCAAGCCCAGCCCGGCCCTACATCATTTTCCCATTACGCCTAACGCCTCCCACGGGGTAGAGCCCCCACGTACCTTTTACTCATTCCTTCGGCTCCATCCTGGCGACCTGGCCCACCCTTTTTATTAATGCCTTTACTATTTCTTTTCTCTTGTCATTGTTTATTGTATCTTGTCGGGGAGGAATTGGACTGTTGGTATGTAAGAAGAGGTGGGAGGGGATGGCAAGGGATAAATGGAAAAGTGAAAAGCTTGGCTATCTAGACAGGCGTTTTGGGGCAGGATAAGACACGAGACTGTGGAAGAACGGGTTCTGGATGGCAGGATACATGTCAGCTTGTATATTTGGAGGACTATGTTTGGTGTCCTCGCTCTATGGCTTGTATATCCTCATCTTTTGAGAGTAGAGTGATGTTGGTGGTGCTTTTTCAGACTTTTCAAGACATTAGAAACCAAACAAATTCAATTAAAAGGACAATGGATACTTGTGAATACAGTGTCTCTACAAGTTCACCTGTGTTAATGTTAAGACGCAGCTCTTATCACTGAGGCTGCAAGCTCATTTGATTCGCCGTCATACGAACTATTCCATGAGTTTCGTAATGTGACATGTTTGTTTTATTAACGGAGTTGTTGCCAACTTGGTGTGTTAATTGGTTACATTGAAGTCTTGATAAGGCTGATGTGCCGAGTCCCATTGCATTGCGAGTGCGGGCTTGACCGAGATGATTACCTGCATGCTGCAAGTCCCTTGTTTGTGATCTTCCTTGAATAGATGGGGTGACTCTTGGCTGCACCTCTGTGATAGCGTACTGATTTAGTTTTGGTTGACCAACAACATGCAATAGCCTACAAAAATCCAGTCAGCACAGCTCTGCTAAAACATGTGCACCGGGGTTTCCCGCAGAGTAATTTCCCCTGCATTAGACCTTGGTGGTCAACCGCGCTATGGCGACGGCGCCAACGGTGCGGCGTTCGGAGACTGGGGGGCTAGAGACAGGGGTTGATTTTAAGCACACTCGTTCATCGGAATTAACCCTCTAAAAGTTGTTGTCTCTTGCTTGTCTCGTCTTGAGCTCGGGAAGTGGGCAGGCCAAGCAAACTCAGCTTTGGTTGAAGATAAACATGAGTCGGAACCATGTGAGCCACTGTGACGTTTTGACACTTGATAGTGTCCTGGTCGAGTCACGTTCCGTGCGAGTGGAGAGATAACGACTTTTTTTTCTTTTTGTTCTCATGTTTCCTTCTCTATCTATCCGTATAGCCGTACTAACTTGTTGAAGACAATGCCGCGTTCATTAGAGGCTGTTCCGAAGGTATTAGCACGTGGCGTCGAAAAAGCTATTAATGGTAAGTGTGAGTGGGAAAAAAGACAGAGAAAGTAGTCAAGCGTGATCAAGTAGCATAAAATCTATGTCCATCTAGAACGCGTGAGATCTCGACTTTGTAGGACTTGGCTATGATTTTGTCTGCACAGCTATTGTATTGCACTGTAGTATAGAGGGCGGAGTAGCTAAATTAGATGGAGGGGAGGAACTGGCAATCAGGCACAGACCAGGCCGGGTCAGTCAAGGGTCGATTGTGTGATTCTTCTCGAGATGCTAGTTTGTGTAGATCCCGTCGTTAGGTCAGGTAACGACGGGCTTAGAACGGTGGACTGGAGTTGATGGCGACAGCCCTTGAGCGGTTGATTCAGTTGAGTGAAGATGGAAGTGCTGAGTTTGAGAGCAAGAGTGAGCTGAGGAAACATGCCTGTCAGCTTTCGTTTTTCGCTATATTATTACCCTGGGTATTGCTAAATTATTCTTGGGCAGCTGAGATTAGAGTCGCATTGCTCCTCTTGTGTATGGCATGTTCATGCTATGTTTGTGCTCCTGGTAGTATTGGTGGGGAGGGGCATCTCTCTCACCCTCACCCTCACTTTCTGGTCAGGGGTTGATCCAGACTATTGACAAAGATAGCACCAAGACGCGGTGTCTAGGTTGAGTTTGAGAATAGAAATGAAAATGGACAATGCATTGATTATTGCCGTGAAGCTTGTCGTATCTCATCCAGGAGGAAAGGAACCTAGAGTGGCGTGGCGTGGACCGTAGTAGTTAATTGATTTGGGTTGACCTTCCTTCGTTCCTTCGGCACGGCTGTACATCACTACCTGCCTGCACAAATTTGACATCTTGCTTTTGATGTTTTTGACATTTGCTCCTTCCTTCCTCTACTTGACATATCTCTAATTTTGGCTTCAATTGCCTCGTCCATTCTTTTTATTAACCAAACACGTTCTTTTACAATCACTCGTTTTATGATTCTAGTAACGATCACCATCACCAGTTCATTTACAAGGAACTAGCTTACCACTCGGACGATGCCTTGAGACCTCTGGCTTTACCTAAACCATTCTAATTGTCTCTCTCCCGCTCTTTTAATCTTTTAATTACTTGTCTTAGTGGCAAGACATGGCAACACCATGGAACAATATGGGTATCTATTCATCCAATGTCGATCACGACGATAAGATCGTCGTTGGGCCATACGACGATTCGAGGTATACAGCATCATCCGGCTTCAGCTATGCCCGGCAACCTTCAACACAACCTGCAAACTCCACCTCACAGTTAATTTCTCCGCCTCTTCTCTCGCCGCCTGTTGCGAGGGTATCGCCTGGTCCTTCGAGTCCGCGTAGCCGCAGCCCAGCAAGTCCTCGAAGCTTTCAGTCTCTCAACAGCCCTTCCAGTGCTGGATTCCCTCTCAGTCCTTTCTATCCACCATCACAGGAGAACCAGTTCCTTAATTCTCCAGTCAGCGATGGCTTCTACTCACAGCGCACGTCGGGCGCAACTGATCCACGATTCCCGACAAAAGCCCCCAACATGATGGAGATGGTTCTTGAGACTCCTTACTTCGACACCCCACCTCATACCCCAGGTGATACAAGTTTTCGAAGCACTGATGTTCTTGAACCAACCGAAGTTCCGCTCAACAATGGCTGGAGACCTTGGTGGTTGCGTCGAAGAGTTGTCAGCATCTTTATGGGAGTATGCATAATGCTGGGTATAATTGGCGAGGTGGTGATGTGGTGGCTCTCCCAAAAAGACGTCGATAGCAATCTCAAGGGTCTCTGGACCTTTGGGCCCGTTGTAGGTAAGTCATCACCAAGACCCTTGCTATGTGTAGTTATGATCTTTATTTATGTAGTACTCACATGTGTTAAGTTGTTTCAATCGTGGCTATACTATGGGCTAGAGTTGAAGCTCAAGCATTGCTCTATATGCCGTGGATCGTCCTAGACCGGAAACCAACGACTGTCGACGAAACTCGACGGAAGCAAAGTCACCGGACTATTCTACTAGACTATCACAGCCTGGGGAGTTTCCAAGCGCTGAACACAGCATTCCATAATCGCCATCACCTTGTTGTTGCAGCTATTGCCATCAAATTCCTTCTTCGCGCTCAGATCGTTCTCTCGACTGCTATCTTTCATGCCGAAATCCACGTCGATGGCACTTCTTTACTCCGTGCCCGCTTAGGTGTCCTCCATGCTATGGCCGGCACCTTTCTCATTATTTCTATGGCTCTTCTTCCCATGCTGTATCATGCCCCCTCACCTCGTGGAATAGCACCGCGAGATCCCACCTCCCCTGCTGGAACGGCGACACTTCTCACAAGCAGCCATCAATTTCTCACCCGACTATCGAACACAGGACATGCGAATATGGAGACTGTTGCTGCCAGGCTTGCAGGATCATGGTATACAACAGAACTCACCCAGCCCGGCCGTCGACCAGAAGAGATGTTTCAGCTAAGACAGCACGGTGGAGGCAGTGGCCCTCTTTGTATGAATCCCCCCAATGTATCGCCGGAGACAATTGCGACTTATCGGCCATGGACCCAAAGCACCCGCACCAAGATCATGAGCATTGTTGCCTCTGTTGCGCTGATTGCTGGTACCTGCGTCATCTTTGGTCTGAAGGGCAAAGGCGAAGGCTTGGATGTCGATGACAGTATTTTCGTCGTCTGGACTTGCACACCTACCATCATCTTTGCTGCTATTGCTGTATTCTGGACTCGTATTGACATCGACAACCGACGCCTGGCCCCCTTTTTGAAGCTCACTACTACCAAGCATCGTTTCCAGGAGTCCCTAGGATTATCTTACATGAACGAATTTGGCCTCCATACGGCTGGGAAGGCCATGAAGACCCAGGACTGGGCTGTTTTTCTCGCAAAATGCACGGCAATGCTTGGATGGTTAATGCCAATCTTTACTGCAGGACTGTTTGCTGTTTCTCAAGTTGCGCAAACGGCCAACCTTGAACTTCGACCCGAAACAAAATTTGGCTCTACAAGCAAGTCGTTGAGTGCTGCTGTAGACAGCGACATAATCGACCAAATCCTCATGCGGCAGACACCCAAGTACCCGAGATGGACTTGGGAAGACGTGGCCCTTCCAAAGCTTTCCTTAGTGAGCCACCCCCGCGAGTGGCCACTCCCAAATACTGAGCTCGTGGCTAAAGTTCCTGGTCTTAGAAGTAAACTCAATTGCGAGACCGTATCTTTTGATCAGGGTGAGGGTGCAGATTTGCAATGTGTACCTTTAGGGGGGTCGAAGAAAAAGGCCATTTGTGACGCGGGCCAATCTCGCACTGCACTTGTTGCTTCATCCTGCTCACAACTTACTTCCTCGTACCCAATCAAGTATGTTTGGGGCAGTTGTGCTGGTGATGGGTTGATATCGGTCATGATGTGCAATCAATCACTTGTTGAGGTAACCGTTGATACAACGTTTCGCACTGAGGATTTGTATATCAACACAAACCAAATCCCCATCGTCAATGCATCAAGTGAGCAACCATCAAATGTCAAAGCAGATATCACAAGCGTTTATGCAGCACTTGATGATTTTGGTGCTGATGACAAAAAGTTGACAGGACTGGACGGCTTCTTTCGCACTTTAGTGCTTTCAAGGCTGTCAACTACACTAGAGCGCATTGTCATGCCCGAGAGACAAAATTCCGTCTCGCAGGCAATCCGCCAACTTCATGGGATTATAGCTGCGCAAGCCATCAACGGGGAATTGATACGACGCCCCTTGGTCAACAAGCTTCGCATGCGTGATGATTCTCAGCCAATCATCCCAGCACATGTCGACTATGTTATCCCACGTCTGATGCAGAGCATTGTGCAAACTTTTGTTCTAATTGGCCTACTTGTATTCACACTTTTGTTTGGATTATTATCTCTTCGCACAGCATCGCGTGGTACTCTGCCAAAAAGCCCCGGAAGCATCGCCGCTCAAGCAAGTCTCCTCGCAGACTCGTCCTTGTGGTGGCGCCTTCCAGACGGAGCCGAATGGATGGAAGATGATGACTTGGCACGATGCCTGCGCCGAAAGACCTTTCATCTTGGATGGAGTCAAGGGGCTTCAGGGAACCAAACTTACGGCATTTACATTGTGCAAGATGAAGGAAAGGCTGCAAGACCAACCGGCGCATCGCAAACAACCGCCGATAATAGTGAAGGATCAAGGGGCGTCCGATACATCAGCATGGCGCCTGGTGTATACTCATACAATGACATAAAATCATGAGGAGAGGTAGGATGGAGAATTTTGTGTTACCTTCTATTGCTGTACTTGGGAAATGCATGGCGTTGGAAAAAAAGCGATCTATTATGAATTTGGTATATATCCATACAACTTATCAGAGTAGAGTATCACAGATACTATTTATCGATAATCTTGAGTTTGTCTTTATCGTTGTCTTCTGTCATCAAAACCTGGGAAGTAAGGCTCTAGGAACAAAATAAGTTGGAAATGTGGAGACTTTGCAATTTACTTAATGAGTCCGATGACCGCAGTACATTTGTTAAGCTTGGAGCCATACCACCCATTGAGTTTCAACTTAGGTTCGGTGAGTGTTTAAACCCCATCTCATGCAATTGGGATACTTGGTCAGTTCGAACCTCGGTATATTTCGGAAGAGGCCATTGTCAGTTGGGCCTGACGCTTCTGATCTCTCTTGATCGCTCTCATATATAAACGTCACTCTACCCAACCCCGCCAGCCAAAAGACAGAAACCAGCACTGCACAAACATCAACAATGGCGTTCACAATGCACTCCCACTCGGGCGAGTTCTGCCCGGGTCATGCCAAAGATCAACTCGAGGAAATTGTAAAGCAAGCTGTCTCTGTTGGCTACAAGACCATTGGCTTCACAGAGCATATGCCGAGATACGACTTGCGTGATCTATATCCTGAAGAGGTATCTATCAATCACATACTTCATCTTTGGCAGCAGATATCTTACATACTCTTGCTTAGCTCGACGATCCCCAGGCCGCACTGGAGGCCCTCCCCCCTCGCCATGAGTCATATCTCATCGAGGCACAGCGTCTACGGCACGAGTATGCCTCGCAGATTCAAATCCTCATTGGATTCGAAGCCGAATTCATCCGGTCTAGCTGCGCGGCGCATGTTCGCAAACTGGCAGAACACCCTATCATCGACTACTTCATTGGCTCAGTACACTACGTCCACAACATGCCGATTGACTATTCCAAAGAAATTTTTCTGACTGCACAGGGAAAAAGTAGCCGGGGGACAGAAGAATCACTCTACGAAGATTACTACGATCTGCAGTATGAGATGCTCACAGAGCTCAAGCCACGAGTTGTGGGCCATTTTGATCTCGTTAGATTGATGAGTGAAGATCCTGAAAGAGATCCCAGGCAGCTGAAGGGTGTTTGGGAGCGCGTGTTGAGGAACCTGGCACTCGCAAAAGAGCAGGATGGCTGGCTTGAGGTGAACAGTGCCGCGTTGCGAAAGGGTCTTGCAGAGCCATACCCTGGTAGACAAATTGCTGAGGTGAGATGACTCAATTCACCAAAACGAGTGTTTAATATTGACTTGATGCAGGAATGGATTAAGATGGGTGGCAAGCTTACTTTCTCAGACGATAGTCATGGCATTGCCCAAGTCGCTACCAACTACGCTCGTACAGTCACTTATCTCGAAAGTCTGGGCGTCAAGGAAGTATGGACTCTCAAGAGGTTAACTCACACCGACATTGAGGGATCAGAGAAAGCAGTCGTTGAGGAAGTCAGTGTACCTCTAAGCGAGTTTCGCAAGAACTTCCCCTAAGAGTCATTTGAAGACGATGGTTTAGAACATATAGACAGACTGCCATCAAGTCATAGATTAAACACAGCTAGAACTATAAAGCGAGATCTAATTCGGGAATGAAAAGGAAAAGGGTATCGTGAAGAAGACTACATATCCAAAGGTGGATAGGGTTGCGAAAGAATTGAGTTTCTATGCGAGGAAAGGAAAGAAGCATGGTTGTGCTTGGGTATCAACTCTGAACTGTATTTTGCTTCCCAAATAGTGCTGTAACAAAACAGGCACACAGCTACTCGTATCTCAGAAACCAAAGCATATGAAATTTCAGCATCGTTTTTAGGGTCGAGGTTTTTCAGGGATCTCCCTAGTAGGGTATGGGAGGTCGGCCTCCTGCTTTACCTCGGACCCCGCGGCCTCAGTAGTAGCGGCACCCCGTGCCCGATGTCCCGAGCGGGGCGCAAAAGGAATCCCAGAAGAAGAAGTATACTGAAAGAGGTTGGTCTTCTTGACTGGGCTGGGTGTCGCAGCAGGTGTTTGCGTAGAAGAAGCCGGCACGTTAGGAGGGAGCCATTGCAATGGCTCGTTCTGAGCGACAGGTTTGGGTGCAGGGCCTTCAGGCTGATAGGGGATAAAAACATCGTCTGTTTCTGCGCTAGGCTGGACAGAAACTGAGGGAATGGGCGGCGAACTCAGTGGAGGAGAGGCTAACTGGGAAACATACCCAGCAGGCTTGAAAGGATCTTGCTCCTGCAAAGGAGTTGCAATGCCACTAGATGAAGTAGTGGCGGGTGGTGTAGGGTTGACTGGCAATGATTGCGTGGGAGAGTGGTTATAAGTCTTGGTAGACACAACGACCGTGCTTGGGTCGTGGGACTGGGCTGCTGATGGATGCGCAGCAGTAGATGGCGTTTCGACAGGCTGAGCCTGGCCGATAGCAGGGACGTTGCCGTTGGCTTTCTCAGCCTCAAGGCGAGCACGCGCTTTGGCAGCCTTTTGGGACTGAGTGATCAAGTTGATACGAATCTTCCTCATCCCCGAAGTGATGTTGTCCACGTCATCACCCGTTGTGCCATTCTTTGAAGCTCGCTCCGGTGACTTGGCTTTTTGGGCGGCAGTAGTAGGACCAGAAGGGCCGGCTGCTGTGGTAGCTTTCTTAGTAGCCCGAGGTGCTTTTGGCGCAGGCTCTTTGCGGGGAGCCGCGGGGAGCCGTGTCTTCTTGACTTGCAAGTTGCTGCTAGGAGCTGCCGTTGCAGCTGCGGGGGAATCGGGCAACGTTTGAGCATATTCAGCAGCTTCGGGCAGGGCTGCTTCAGGAGAAGATAACCGTGAAGTGAGAGGTACCGGGATCTCGCTAAGACGCCGACTAGACCTCCTCACTCCTGGCTCAACACTGTTTGTTCGTGAGGGAACATCACGAGCAACCGGCTTCGAGGGGGTTAGCTTGAATTCACTACATGATATCATTCGACTTGCCTTTTCTGAAGCTACAGTAGTAGTGCCCATCGTCCTTCTGCGACCTTTGGATGACTTGTCAATGGTTGGCTCAGGGGGTGGTACTAGCTTGGTCCGTCTCTCACGCAGAGACATACGCGATGTTGGGCGTGAAGCAGTGGCAGGGGGTGGAGGGTTAGGATCGACTCCCATCAATATCGATTGCCGGTCACGTCTGGCCCGGCTTGCTTCTGCGTTCAGATCCTCAGGTTGGCAGCTACCGGTTTCGCGTGAGGAGGGAATAAGGAGTTTGCTTAGTTCATGCGTTGCAACCGCCCAGGGAACTTCTGGAGGCGGCGGCGATGGAAGTCTGGGCATGGTCGAGCCTAACTTGGACAAGCTGCGCTGCATCTTCGTAGGGTCTGTGGACTTAGCAGTTGACGCCTGAGTAGGAGCAAAGTAGGATGGAAGAGTGACGTATTGCGGGTATTTGGAAGCAGCAGCATTTGGATCGCCCATTAGAACCTCAAGTTCCTCCATGTTTGAAGCCGACCACCATGAAGGGTCGTAAGCATGGATGGAATCCAAGGCTGACTTTTGCTCAACACCATGTGATACTCCTTTTGGTGACGTTTGACCTATCTCGACTCCAAAAGAGCCGGCGCTGTCTGATGATTGTTCGCTTGTCTGATCACCAGCTAGTCCGCTGAGGTGACTCATAATGCCAGAACATAGAGCTCGATCACTGTAGCCACCTTCCAATACACTGATAACGCGACCGTCAACATGGAGGCCTTCTTCAGCTGCGAGCTTGACGACATCTTGAGCAATACGCGCATAAAATTCGGTCGGAACGTTGACCTTGTGGCGTTGCATGCCCTCACCCTCCCACTCGCTGGCATCAAACCCAGCAGACAGGAAAATTGCAGCCTTTGGCGGTTCTTTTGATTCTCTCAATCGCTCTGCCTGGTTCTTGAAGTAGTTTCTGACCTTATCCAAAAGGACGGTATATCTTGTTTCGTAGAGTTTCCAAAAATCCTCTTCTGACTTCCATGGTTCGAGATGAACGTTCCAAACCGTTTGGCCGTGTGCGTTGTCGATACAGATACTGGCGCTCCTAACCTTTTCTTCATCGCCCATTTCGCACGGATACGAGTTGATGTCGTGTAAGCTGAAGTAGCCGATCGACGACTTTTTCCATGCTGCTGCATTCTTGGCGGCATTCTTCGCTCGATTATTGTGCTGCCATGTAATAGACTGAGATCCATCACCGTGGTGAAGGTCGAAGTCGATAATGGCTGCATGAGTGAGTCCGTGCTCGAGAGCTGCATGCATGATACCAACGTGAACATTATTGACCCAGCAGAAACCGGAAGGATAAGAAGCAGAACAATGATGGCCCGGGGGTCGAACGCCTATAAAGGCGCGGCGCGGACCCGAACCAAAGACTGAGTCAATGGCTTCACAAACAGCTCCCAGAGCGCCTTCCATAGCATTGAGGGACTCTGAGCAGAGGTACAAGTCACCTTCGTGAAATTTCTCAGGAGGCTTATCAGCCCCCCGGCTCATTTCAGGCCTTTGGAGTTCTTTTCCGCCCAGTGCAAGCTTCAATTCGGCCGCCTCGCACATCATCTTGAGCTCCTCCATCCATTTTGCTCCATGCACATTGACTACGGCTGGTGAAAGTAGAGAAAGACTGCGATCCGTCTTGTGTATCCGGAAAGGGACCCCTTGAAGATGCTCTGCCTCCCTTCCTGGGTGAAGTGGATATTCACCTTCACAATGCCTACCACCCAAGCGTACGTAGGCTGCGGAAACACCTAATACTGCAGCCCTTATCCGCTCCGGACGTTCAACAATATTACCAAGAGCGGCACGAGAAGTTCGGGGTCGGGAGAAACGATGACCGTAGACAGCGTCGTTCAGCACTACAATCGTTTGTGTCGGACGGGTGGTGATAGAGCTATGATGCACCCTCAGCTCAGCTTTCAAGTTGTCGTGTGCAATGGAGCGAGGTGTTGGTCGAATCTTTTCTTGATATGATGCCCTGCGTGTTGGTGACATGACATGTGCCACGCTTGAACGTCTTGAAGTTGAACCAGGCCCAATTCCATTAGAAGAGCGCAATGAGTTCATGGAGGCTTTCCGTAGGAGGGTAGATGTGCCCAAGGAGGGGTCCTGGGAGGGGCTTCGTGAAGGTGCTCGAGCATTTGGTGCTGGTGACTGCGAAATACGGCGGCCCGATGGACGGAAGGGAGAGGCAGGTTCGGAGGCAAGGCGGGACGGAGCTCGGCCGGGCGAAGTGGAGATGTTGAGTTGCTTCAACGACTGAGTCAAGTCGTCATGTTCGGGTTGTCTCAGGTTCCGGATGGAGGACTGCCGCCGGAGCGACAGTGATGGTCGGGATGAAGAAGCCATGAGGCTGGTTACTCGATAGTGCAGCCAGATTCAGAGGACGACAAATGAGGAATATCGGTAACTTGATCAATACAAGACAATATCAGACCCGTTCGGTAGCGGGGTAGTCTATTGACCGGTAGTTTGGTTGACTGAGACACAAAGAGATAAGTCACAGCCAAATGGCCTAACTTGATCTCTAATCGCCTTGGGAATAGCTCCGTTTTGAATTTCTTTGCGGCTTGGACTTCTTCTTTGATGGGAGATGTCGGTGACGTCTTGCCCCTGTTTGGGTACTCGATAGTAGAGATAAGATCGCGTTTGGAGAAACGCGACGGGTCACGTGTCTATAGGTATGACGCTGTTTGTTTGGGGTTGTCAAAGTCAATAACTTTGAGTTGGAATTGTGAGGAGTAAAAAGTTCTTTATAGGCTACTTAATCTCATTACCAGGAAATGACTTTATACGTGATGATATTGAAGCGTATCTCTCTCCTATTTCTGCTTGTTCGGTTAAAAGGATTAAGAGCACCACGAATTTAATATGTATGTCAACGTGGCATACCCTACGTATAAACATTCATAAACAATGCCCTACTCTAGTTGCCGGATCCCGTCGGGACGGTAGTGTGGGATTAATTGTCGTGTTGGCGATAGATTAACTGAAGATCTTATGCACAGAGTACCCTTGTTATTAATATGCTTAACGACCTGCTAAATCTGCTAACAAGCTGAGATCTGTCCATCATCCTTGTCCTAATAAATAGATCATAAATAAATACGAAGGGAAAGCAATTGTATAGGCTTATAGAAACCACTCACATAAGAAGTCATTTAGTCTATAAACAGAGTTGAAGAACCCCATCGTCAGATCGTGCACGAGGGTTGCTTGGACGTCTTGATTTGTTGCCCAAGATAGTAACCTTGGCGAGCGAGTTGCGAAACATTGGACTCACCGCTAGCAAAAGTGACTGAACCTCCTCTTTACACTCTAGTCTGCACCTTTCATTTCTTCTCAACGACGACAGTCCCTTTCCACAAGCAGGCTCCAAGTCTAGACAGCTGGCTCACTACCCCTCGCATCCATTTTGTTCATCCCAATCCCTGTAAGGAATAGTGGAATACTACGCCCCATGCAAACGAGACATCATGATCCACTACGGACGGTCCTTGTCTCTCTCGTTAGGCTGATTGATGGATCTAACATGACTTCGTTTCCGCAGAGTCGGGCGTTTGAAGGATGCGGGACCAAGGTAACAACGGACGGTCGACGTGGGTGAAGTGGTGACTGCGTTATGTCGTTGTGTCGTGTCCCAGCCGAGTCTTTATGGTTATACTTGAGATTGGAAAAGAGGCCTAACATTTCTGCAAATATAAAATTATTTCCATACCGCAAATTACGAGTAACATAGGCCTTTTCTGATTCCAAAATGACATACGATCGAATACAGCACTATATCATTATTGGTTGTTAGTACCAACACCCAAAATGAGCTCTTGTCTAGCGGATGAGCCTAATAGACAAACTTTCCATGGCGAGTCACCTTGCATGACAGGCAGGGCTGAGTGATTCACGAGGTCTTGTCCATCCATACCAGCTCAGGGCCGGTGGAATTTTCTACTGGGGCCATGACATGTGTTGGCACGAAGCTGATCCTTCGTTTGCCGGACCAAGAACCGATCTGCTTTGTCCCAATGCTATAAGCATCCACCGGCTATTGAGTGATATTCGGACTCTAGATGCAGTCGTCCAAATTGCAATCTGCTCATCGGCAAGGGTAAGGACTAATCTGTCCAACGATAACCTTTGGAAAACGCCAAAAGAAACTGTACGATGCGCCTACGAATACCCCTTGTGATCATTGGCATAACAACAATGACAATCTAAAACCCTTGACTTGCCAAGAAACGAGTTCAGTACTGAATTTACGTCTGCCCAGACAATGAGAACGGAAAACGGCATTTGCTGTCTGGTCCATGAGTTCTCACTTTCAACGTTCTTGGCTGGGGGTCTTTTGACTGGGGCCACCTGAATTCTTTGCAAAGCCCTTGTTCACCTTTATCTAGCTAGCTCGAGAAACAGTGGCTTTTTCGTCCCAGTCCCCCCTTCTCCTCTCCCGCTAGCGCAGGGTACCCCTGCTTGGCCCTGGCCCGATCATGACTCCCGTTGCAATTCTGTCTAAGAGGCGTCTCCAACGTTATCACCAAATATCTGCGTTCAATTCACAAAGTGTGCCTAATTGCCTCTCAACCTCCCAGCCGCACCATGGCGTCTCTGCTAATTGGTTCACCTGGCCCCAGAAGACCTGGGGTTCTGCCTCGTGGATGCTGGATGCCCGGGGCTAGCTCGATAAATTGACCGCAAGCTTCCTAGCGTTATGTGCCTGTCTGTCTTTGTGCTTGTCCATTGCTCAATCAAGCGAGGTAATGGACCAACCCTGGAAGAGGAGCTGAGAGCTCAGTTCAGGTCGGGCTTCGTCAATAAATTCCCGATTGTCGGCTCTTCACCCATCGAGTTTGTTTCCGGTGAATTTGGCTCTCCCGTTCGCGTAATCTATCTGTATAAGTGACTGTGTCGTCTTCCTCTGAATCAACTCCCATCTGACACAACATTGTCCCGAGACACTCGAATTCCAACAACTCGACAAACAACTCACAATGAAGACCGTCGTTCTTTCTGTCCTGGCCAGTGGTGCCGCTGCTCAGATTACTCTGGGTTCTCTTGGTGGTCTGGGTCTCAACCCTGAGCTCTTCCAAAACGCTGCCATCAACCCCAGCGACCCCGAATACGCAACCTGCCAGGACGCCGTTTCACTCGTTCAGAAATGTGTTTCCTCTGTTGGCGGGTTGGACGCTGCTCCCACTGCTGACGCTGAGGCTCTCGTCGCCTGCGCTTGCTGTGATGGCAGTGAAAACGCTGCTCCTCTTTACTCGGTTTGCTCCAGCTACCTCGAGGATGAGGCCCCCGAGAACACCTCCCAATATGAAGGTAAGCCACACATGCAGATAGCCATTCTGTTCTAGGGCAGCGTTCTAACAACCCACTTCCAGCTTACGGCACTCTTTACAGTGCATGCAAAATTGGCGGTGCCAGATGTACTGGTGGCAGCGGCAGCGGCAGCGCCAGTGCCAGTGGTAGTAGCCGCAGTGTCATTGCCCGTCCCACAGCGACTGAAGATGATGATGAGGACCGCTCAACCATCACTACCAGTCCTGCTCAGCAGACCTATGCTTCAGCCTGTGTAGACATGCTCGGCATCTTCACTTCCTGCACAGCCAAGGACCGTGATTTCACAAACCTCCCCTTCAAGGAGCAGGCCGAGTGCTACTGGTAAGTTTCCCATCCAATAGATCTTCGCTTCCATACTGACGACTTGAAAGCTGCCGTGGCTCCGGCAATGACCTCACCTGGACCGACGCTATGGACAAGCATGCTCAGACCTGCGCCGACTGGGCAAAAACTGGCGAGCCCAAGACCGCCTACTCAGGTTTGTTTCTTGCTTCTGATCACTTTGAACCAGTGCTAACTTTACAACAGTTGCCCAGACATTTGCTACCTTCTGCGAGCGCTTCTCCAACGTTTGCGAGTTTGCTGTTGCCAAGACGGAAGGATCTGATTCCGATGAGTCCACTCGGGCCAGCACGACTGAAAACTCCAGCTCCCGCCAGACCGACGATTCCAGTGACGGCAATGACAACGATAGCGAGACCAGCAACAACAACGCCGGTCCTGTCACCGTCACCGTCGATGCTCAGCCTACCGAGACTGGTAACGATGCCACTTCGGCTCGCGCTGGCTTCGGTGCCATCCTGGCCGTCGTTGCTGCTTTGGCCATCACTCTATAAACGCAGCAAGACAAGACTGAATTGGGGAGCGATGGAGTTATTTAATTCTTTTCCGTCTTCGAGAAGACGTCTTGGTTCTAATGACTTATCTGGAATGTTGAATGAGACACCACGGGGGAATGCATGGACGATGCTTGGTCTTCTGTTGGCATGTTTGAGCGTTCACATGCAGTATATAGATTCCGTTTTTTGTTAATTATAATAACCCATTTTCAACAAACGCCTTTTTGTGAATGGTGAGGCCAGCTTATTCCGATTGTAGATCTATATCAACACCCTTCAATGCTCCAACTGCCCATTCCGGATATTCTGCCTTGTCGGCATACAGCCAAGCAAAGAACTGTCGCACAAATGCAGGGAAGCGATCTTCAAGAATTGCCTCTCGTATTTGGCGCATGAGGTTTAGTTGGTAGAAGACGTTGTGAATCGTCAACAAGTGCGCCGCTACAGTTTCTTTGGAAGCGTTGTGGTGGATAAATGCCCGTGTGACACCCATCCCTCCCTCAGCAGTTGGCTTGCAGACCATGCACTTGCAATCCTCCTCCACAGGGCTGAAATCAAGGGCGTACTTCTTGTTGCGCATGTTGAGAACGCCATGCTTGGTGACTGCGTTTCCAAATCGAGCGGTTCGCGTAGGCCACACGCAGTCAAACATGTCGGCACCCAGCGCAACACTCACCACCAGATCTTCAGGGTAACCAATACCCATGACGTATCGTGGTTTCAAGTCGGGAAGCATTTCTGTGCAAGTCGCGACAACTCTGCAATAATCTGCTTTCGCTTCACCACCGCTGAGTCCACCGATTGCAATACCAGGTGTGTCACGGGCCAGCATTTCGCGACAGCACTCTCGACGCATTTCAAGATCCAGGCCACCCTGGATAATGCAAAAGAGGTTCTGTGATTCGGGCTTCTTGTGAGCTGCGATACATCGGTCCAGCCATCGCACGCTGCGTTCCATAGCCTCCCGCATCCGAGCCTTGTCAGGTGATGTTGTAACAAGGACATCGTCGAGCTGCATCATGATATCGCTGCCGATACTGTTTTGTAATGACATGGAGTGTTCGGGGGTCAGTAGCATAGGTGTGCCATCGTGAGGGCTCAAAAATTCAACACCCTTTTCAGTGATGGTTGCAAGTTTGAGCAAACTGACCATTTGGAATCTTTTAACAAGTATTAGTCACTGGTTCATTCATTAACAAAGAAAAACATACCCGCCACTGTCAGTCAGAATATTGCGGTTCCATCCCTGAAGTTTGTGTGCTCCGCCTATAGCATCCAAGACTTCTTGCCCTGGCTTCAAACCAAGATGGTATGTGTTGTTCAAACACAACATGCAGCCTGTCTCTTCAAGTTGCTCTGGGGTAATGCCTTTCAGAGATGCCTGAGTTGCAACAGGCATAAATATGGGAAGTTGAACAACGCCATGGGGAAGAGTGAGAATTGATGCTCGTGCTCTAGTTGTCTGCCTTGGAAAGTATGTATTAGTCTTGTGCATCTCAATCCCGGGATCGACCACTAAACGAAGCCATCACCATGTTGTGAGACTCACGGAACATTTTGCAACAAGCTCATGCGTCAAGGCAGGCGACCTGTAGACGTTTGCTGCTGAAGAAGCCATTCTCTTGATACTTGATTGCATTCGGTTTACCTGGACTACTTGACAATAAAAGAAAGAAAAGGAACACCTATTCACCCCTCATAATCGTGTTAGTCGCCGACTGGGAATTTTTATTTCATGGAAGTTACCACGATTAGCAGCGCAGGGTTACCTAGTGGGGGTTTCCTATCGAAACAGGGTGCGGTGTTTGAGCTGATTGGTCAATGAGACCACCCCGGGATATCACCGGTAGATTCCGCACAGCTTCAATCCCTAGCGAATTTTCGCCGACTTCAAGCTATACGCCTGTAGCTCATCACGACGATACCAGAACGGCAAGTCAATTGAGCTCGTCGAAAGGTCTCTGAGTCGAAATGGCGCCCAGAGGAGTTTCGCCCGGGGGGCGGCTAATGAAGGCATCTCGACTGTTCTCTCTCCCCAAGCCGTTGGGCGAACCTCAGTCGAACAACTTGCACATTGGTGACCATAAGTCTCCCACCATGACAAGACAATACCCGCAGTACCAGGCCATCACATCTCCTCTCTCGTCGCGAGAGAAAGGCGATTGGGGATTTAAGCGACCGTTTCCTCTCAAGTCCACCTTGACAACCTCAACACCCTTGATCCGAGTCAAACAAGTCGATTCTATCGAGAGCGTAACTGATTTTGCTTCTGCCGCCGACCACGCCCTTTCGCTCGAAAAGTTCCAGGAGATGCGCATTGCCATGTCCATCCCAAAAACCAAAGATACAAATGCCAAGACTTTCACAACCGCTACGTGGCACAAGTCTGTTTTCGAAGAGGACCTTGATTTTACTGAGCGTCGTCAAGGACGAAAAGACGATAAGCGATGGAGGTTCAAGGGACCTTGGCTGGCCAGGATGACCGAGGGCGAATTCATCAGCTATCTTGAAAAGGCCGTCCGGCCCAAGCGTGCTCAGTTTAAGGGTCTACTCCTAGAAAGACTTGTCCAGTCTCACAATGATGAGAAGGCCCAGTCTGCCATGGAACAGGGAACCGAGGCGCCAGAAAAGATCACAATCGACGACGTTACTCCTGAATGGTACACAGAGTATGTGCGCTCATTACGGAACGATCGAGCTGCACTTTACGGTCTGGTCTCCAAGTTCCTCGATCTTGCTCCTCTGGGCCAGCCCATTGGTATTATGCAGGGACTTATAGCTGCTGGAGTGAACGCGGCTACTGACAGCCCATATGGTAAATCTGGACCACCTCCCAGTCATCCATCCGCTGGTATCAGCTATCTGAGAACAAACTCCTTCATGGCGAACCATCCTCTTTATGGACCTCAGAAGCAGCCAACTCCCACTCTCGCTCGAGTGGTGTACCCTAGACAAGGTCCATCACCCGCCAAGCTTGGTGTTGGTGGTTTCGTAGCCGACTCTCCCCCGGGAGACAACGAGTTCAACAACAGATATTTTTCACGTCAGAGGATTTCAACGAACAAGAAGATGCTCACTGGTATTTCGCATCTTGACACCACAACCTATGGTGGTGCCAAGGCATACGTCAGCCCCGAGACGGCGACCGTTGATCCTAGCGGAAGGGTCGTGGTTAAACTCCGAGAAGCAGAACCCGAGGCTCAGCTCATTGCGAAAGAAGCCAAGGGACGTGGCCGGGTTTACGACTTGTCAAAGCAAACCAAGAAAGAAAACAATACGGATGCGGAAGCTGATCCCTGGCGAAAAGACCGCGTTGCTGATGAGCTTCTTGGCGATGGGAATGCGGCTGCCCCTCAAGGCGATGCTGTGAGCAGCTCCAGGAACTACGGCCTTGATGGCAGGCAATAAAACATCATGTTTGGTCAAGGGCGACGGCCGCTGTATATCAATGTCATCTATTGTCTCCGAGATGGAGAGAAAATTGTCCCAAACAACTGTACAAATAGAATTAAAGCAAGTTATTCAAGTACCATAACATTCATACACTGGACTGGCCGTATGGTTAGGTAATGCGGCGACATAAAGGTCAAACTATGAAACCCGCACATGCATTTCTCAATCTCATTGTCCAGGCCCGAGAGCGCACCGATCTAGAGATACTGTTGCATCACTAGATTTGACGTATCAGCGATTCTCACAGTAATTAATGTCAGCAAGCGTGTATTTAAACCGCGATTCTCCTAACACTTGATTAAGAGTCAACAGCATGCAATGGTTTACTTCTAACTGCTTGAACCAGACTCAACGGCTACCACCAATAGGAATACTTATTTCGGGTTCACTACATTTGTGGCAGTTCTTTGTTTCAGCAGATTTTATTTGTCATTGAGTATGCACTCCAGGCAGTTTTATTTGCTCTAAAGAAAGGCAGAACCTGAAGGAGAATAGACAGTTGCAAATTCGGCTTTACGCTTGTAGGAGGGATAGAGAGTATCGCCCAGGGCAGTGTGTTAAAAGCAAGTTAAAAGCAGAGACTACCTCTGAACCTCAGAGTTTCTTGAAGCCAACTGATTCGAGAATCAATGGCTATTAGTCCGTATATAGAGTCCGTGGCCATATTCTCTTGACAGTACTGCCAAGTATAGACCAAACGGAGATTTCTCTACTCTCAAGAATGGCTGGACACATTTAAAGAAGCACGAGTATTTGTGTCAAGGTAGCGACATATGGTGCTGAGAAACCAGAGCAAAGTATTTTCTATTGCATATTAACCATAAAGTGTTTATGTCGTCGTGTGAGCCTCTACTTGCGTCTATGTTGGCTTTCTAGTGCTGCATCTTTATTGGTAGAGCATTCCCATTTGGTCTTGACGCCCCCAGCACCCTGGCAGCAAAACCCAGCGTTAGTAATCACATCACGTGCCATACACTAGGGCTAACGTGGGTCCGGTTCACAACACCAAATGCTGCGAATATATCGAAACTTTCCAGATCAGACTTCCTTCAACCTATCGCCCAACGTCCTAACAGTCCAATACCGCCAAAATGGGTCGCGTTCGTACCAAGACCGTCAAGAAGTCCGCCAAGGTCATCATTGAGCGTTACTGTGAGTGTCCTCTATTTGATGCCCGCTGGAACCAATACTGACCGTCTCAAGATCCTAAGCTCACCCTGGACTTCGAGACCAACAAGCGTATCTGTGATGAGATCGCTATCATCGCTTCCAAGCGTCTCCGCAACAAGGTGAGAACTGGCGGCCCGCCAAGGCGATTCCGAGAATATCGACTGATTGAGCGTTCCAGATTGCCGGTTACACCACCCACTTGATGAAGCGAATTCAGCGTGGCCCCGTCCGTGGTATCTCCTTCAAGCTTCAGGAGGAGGAGCGTGAGCGCAAGGATCAGTACGTTCCTGAGGTCTCCGCTCTGGACTTCACCCAGAACTCCGAGAGCGGCCAGCTCGACGTCGACACCGAGACCAAGGACCTCCTCAAGCACCTTGGCGTACGTTTTCCCCCGATATCGACACTGGTGGAGTGACATGTTAACAATATTTGCAGTTCGAGTCCATTCCCGTCAACGTCATCCCCGTCACTCAGCAGCAGATTCCCGAGCGTGGACAGCGATACGGAAACCGCCCCCGCCGCGACTAAAAATTTGGTTTATGGGATTATTATGGGTGTCAGGCATTTGCAGGGTTTCACTACTTGGCGTCTTTAGGACAGTGAGTGCATAGGTCTCAAAGAAAGACTTTACGACCCCCCAAGGTGTCGCCGATTCTCTGGAGGAATCCACTGATGACGCTTGATCGCCAATTTTCTCCCCTCTTGTTGTGAATGTGACCTTGCCCAAGGCCAGTTCGCACAACAGGGACTGAGCTGAGGGTTGCAGGACCGTCATCAGGTCCTTAACACCAATGCTGCTTGTGTCATGAGGGTTATCTTTTGTCCTTGTGATGCTTTGTGGTACATGTGACATCTAACGCCTATCCTGTGAACTACCGCACGATTTAATCTTATTTTCCCTTGTCCTCCAGTTTGAGTTTCGTTTTGTAGCCTTCGACAAGCAAGTGTTCGTCGTCGTAGACCTCAGGTTTGCCGGGAACTGCAGAAGGTGCCTTCGCATCCTTCTCCTTGAGCGTAATGTTGATCTTCTTGCTCTTGCTCTTGGATGCATCAGGTTCGCCTCGTTCAAGGGCAAGAGCTGCAGTATCACGAGCTGCTTGTCTCTGCTCCTCCAGCTTGAGGTTGCCCAATTCTCGAGCAGCTCGATCAACGTCTGTTTCCTTGGACTTGTCCTCATCAAACAAATCGATTTCGATATCCGGGATGCCTGCACGTTCCCAGGCGGCTGTCTCATTAAGCTGAACCTTGACATAGAGTGCGCGACGTGCACACTGCTGCGAGCACCACTTTTCAAGGTCCTCACGCTTCATGATTCCGTTAGAAGCAATCTTCCATTGACCGCCAGGTCCCATATTCCGTCGTGGTCGAGCACAGAGAGTGTAACCACAAAGATCATTCACATTGCGCTCAATGATGAGGTCGTCGTAGTCCGAGGGCTGAAATAGGCGAACATGTTTTTTGAAATCGGCTATGTCGGACAAAGCAGGATTCGAGGCGTTATAGGGAGGTTCGCGTACATGGGGATATTCGGAGAGGATGATCAAGCTATCGAGAATTTCTGCTTCAAGCTCTTTGCGATGCTGGATGATATTGGCATGTGCGAGAGCGATCTCTTTGGGGTCGGCGTTCCGCTCTTGGATGGACTTGGGCTTCTTGAGAATGCCCTTTGGATGTTGCTTGGAACTCGACGCCATGATGTCGGAATGTTGTGATCTTGCAGAAATGATGTGCAATATTGTAGCTTCACTCGGGTCTGAAAGCTCAGAAAGATGCCCGCCGAATAGCCCCACCGCCACAGTTAGCTTGGTAAGTGCCACTAGCCACTCGACAGAAGGAGGGGAGAGTTTGTCTTAGATTGTCGGGATTGACAAAAACATGGATACAAGCTTGGACGTCAACACTCATTAAGAGTCGCTATTTTTAATGATGGCCTTGGGAGATTGAAAGGACCTGGTGGACCAATTGAAACAAAAGAGTCGTTCCATCATGGATAATGCATTGTTGCACAGCATCAAGAACGGTCTTCTTTTCATCTAGAGTACTGGTTTCAAAGTTTCACAGGCTTCTTAGCATCTGGTCTATGCCTTGGTATTACGCTTAGACGGATGTTTTGAACCAGTGTTTCTACAAGGCCCCCCATGTATTCATGCCATGCCATGCCATGCTATGCTTGCCATCCGGACTGTTCGGCCGCAGCAACGAACTGCAGATAACATACGTTACGACCCCACGAATTAAATAAAGCCCAATGCTTCGGCTCGCAATTGATTTTTGGATTCATTACATGTCTTACATCACCGTCATCCACATTTGTCATCGCCTTATCGTAATAAACATGGCCGACTATCATCGGAGCTAGGCACCAACTTGATTGGGAACCTCTCCAACATTATTGTTATTGCGGTACGCTGTACTGTTAGTGCTGTGACTCGGAGGTACCAAAATCCACTGGACGCGCCTAACACTTTTAGCCGTGAGATAGACGAAGTGACGGGCTTGTTCTTTACGTGCTCGTAGCGCTGACGTCGACAAGCCCCAGCTTTACCTTGGGCTCTGTCTGGTCTATGCTCCGCTAGACACCACCGCCGCCTCCTTGCAACCTGCAACTCATCTCTCGTCTCTTGCTCGCTTGTATCACATTGCACCCTCTTTTTTAAGACCCCCAAACATCGCGCATAATATTTCCTAACACATATCGAAAATCGGACAATTGTCTTCCTACTTAACAGCGCTTTCAAAGAACTCAGGCACTATATTCTCCCCCGCCTCTCGATCCCACAGGCTGACGACGCCCCCTGTCGTGCCCCACACTACCTAGCGAGCTGTTGTTGACCTAGGTACGAACATCCACGTACTGGACCTTCGTACTCCATACAGCCACACGCCCCGAGCAGAATAGCCTAGATCCGAGCCTCGGGCAGCATCTGTCCTGCAAGAGAGCTTCCAGAGGATCAATCAACAGCAAAATGGCCTCGCCATTCAAGGTCAAGGCTATCTACGAGTACTCGTCGCCTCATGAGGACGATCTCAACTTCAATATTGGTCAGGTCATCACCGTAACCGATGAGGAGGATGATGACTGGTATGGCGGGGAATACCTTGACGACCAAGGTGTAAAGCAAGAGGGCATCTTCCCTCGGAACTTTGTTGAGAAGTTTGAGCCTACCGCACCACCTCGTCCATCTCGAACTCGTACCAAGAAGGACCCCGAAACTGCTCACCCCGCCGAAGATATCGCTTCTCCTCCACCGCCACCTGTTCAACAAGCGCCTCCTCCAGTGCCCGCACCCGAGCCCGAGCCCGAGATCGAAGAAGCTCAAGAGCCCGTACAGAAACACGCTGCTCCCGAACCAGCTGCCCCGGCTGTCCCGGAGCCTGCTCCTCCTAAGCCCGCTCCGGTTGCGACTCCCCAGCCGCCTCCGTCAGCTCCTAAAGCCGCTGGACCTCCGTCCCCCGCTCCAGCTTCGCCTAAGCCCAAGTCTTCTGGACCACCTCCGGTATCAGACAAGCCAAAGCCGAGCTCGTTCAAGGATCGCATTGCGGCTTTTAACAAACCCGCGGCACCTCCCGTTGCGCCCTTCAAACCAAGTGGTCTAGCAGGCTCAGGTACAGGCTTTATTAAAAAGCCGTTTGTGGCTCCTCCTCCGAGCCGCAACGCTTTTATACCTCCACCGCAACAAACTCCAACCGCCAAAGTTTACCGGCGCGACGAGGACCCCGAAATTAAAGAACGGGAAGCCGAAACGCAAGGACAAGCTGAGCGAGCCGGACTTGTGCCAACCGAAGCTCAGGAAGGCGAAGCTGAGGATCAACCTAAACCTACCAGCCTTAAGGAGCGCATTGCGCTTCTTCAGAAACAACAGCAGGAGCAAGCTGCGCGACATGCTGATGCTGCTGCTAAGAAAGAGAAGCCGAAAAAGCCCGTGAAGAAGCGCGAGAGTATCAGTCATGCCGAAGCTCCGACTGAGACAGAGGCATCGCCTCAAGAGCCTCCAACTCCCCTCGAAAATAAAGAAACTCAGGATACCGAGGTTAGAACGTCCACAGACGAGCCCCGGACAAACCGAATGCCACCCCCTCCACGCCGCAAATCGTCCAAGGGGCCCGCAGCCGAACCTGTGCATGACGGTAATGAGGCGGACATGTCGGGCGCTGGTGACACAACCGAAGGCAATGACGACTTGATGGAGCGTGAAGATAGTGATAGCATTTCAAAGATTGCGCCACGAGCACCCAGCTTGCCCATACACGCTGGTCCTCCCACCGAAGCACCGAAGAAGCAGGAGAGTGACGAAGGTGAGGAGGAAGGAGAGGAGGAGGAGGAAGAGGATCTCGACCCTGAAGCCAGGCGTAGGGAAGAGTTGAGGGCCAGAATGGCTAAAATGAGTGGTGGAATGGGTTTCCATGGCATGTTTGGTGGACCTATGTCAGCGCCAGCACCTCCACCCAAGAAAAAGAAGGCCCCCCCGGCGAAGCCAGAGCGAACTTCTGTCGATGAGAGCATTGGCGAGGTCTCGCCGACATCACAAGGTGCCCCACCGGTCCCTTCAATGATGCCTCTTCCTGGCTTTGGCGGCCCAAGTAAGCAAGAGGAGCCACCTCGTTCTGAGGCGGAACATGAGCCAGCTAGTCGAGCACCACCGCCTCCAGCACCTTCTCAACCCCCTCGAGCTCCCGGAGCTGCTGAGACACCGGCCGATGAAGAGGATAGTGAGGTTACTCCAGCACCTCATTCTGGCCCTTCAAGTATGTGATCAAATCTAATAATCCAAAGATGTTACTAAACGTTGTCCAGTTCCTCCACGAGAACCCGCGGGAGCTCCCCCTGTACCTGGTAGCCGGCCTCCTCCACCTGCACCTCCCGCTGACGCGAAATCGCAATCGGACGGGTCTGAGTCTGGCGATGAGCTTTCCGGCGGCCGCGATAGTGATAGAGAAGCACCTACCGTTACTGCAAGGTCTCCTCCTATGCTGCCACAGCCAGTTCAGCCCCCTCACTTGCCTTCAAGATCGCCACCGCTCTCTCCAACTCGTGAAGACTTCAGTCCTACGTCTCCCGGGTCTAATGCCAGTAACAGGTTAAGTCGACTGCCACCCCCTATTCCAGGATCTGCGCCAGCTCCTCCTGCTCAAAGCCGTCCGCCGCCGCCTCCTCCGCCTGGTGGTCCTCGACGGCAGTCGACTCAAGATTTCCAGACACCGCCCAGAGGGCCTGCCCAGGCTGGTGAGGAGCAAGCTGAGGAACTTACCGAGTACGAGGGCGACTATGATACTGATATTGCTTCCTCGGTCCCCCATAAGGATGCCTTGAAGTCACACGCTCGTGAATCAAGTCTGGAAGACAACACTCTCCTGTCTCCCGCTTCTGATGCTCCAGCCAACATACCGCCCCCTGTTCCTTCTGCAGCGGCTCCTAGAGCTGTACCTCCTCCTCCTCCTGTTCCTTTACAGCCGCTGCCAGAGAACAAGCGACAATCTGTGGATATACCTCGTGCTGCTCCTCCCCCTCCCCCTCCTGTAGACAGGCGGCCATCTGTCGATGTACCACGTGCAGCACCACCTCCTCCCCCTCCTGCTAATTTCCTACCTCCGCAGCCACCGCAGTCGCCTCGCCCAGATGAGGATTATGACCCATATAACTACTCAGCACCTCCTGGGGGACATGCCTATGCCCCCAGAACACCAAAGATTGAGGAAGAAGCCGATTTCCCTCAATCTCCATCTGTCACTTCTCCTCTTGATAGGCGGCCTCCTCCTCCGGCTGTCCCTGGTCGTACTTCAAACCGACAATCCCTTGACATATCAAGAGCTGGAAATAGACGGTCGATGGACATGCACCGACCTTCCATGTCGATGGAGTCGGGATTCATTGCCAATGACATGGACCTAGCTATACAGAGTGGATGGTGGAAGCAAGCTAACCAAGTGCCACCTGTACTTCAAGGCCGTAAAGACATCTACTTTGAAGCTGAGGAGGCGACATCTACCAACGGTGGGCAACAAACTACGATCACTCGCGAAATCTCCATCCTATATCAGGACTATTCACAGACTTGTTTGACCGTCAGCTACGATCCTTACGATCCATCAGACGTTCAGCTAGAGCAGCGTCACGAACCCCCACCACGTCCGCTCCGCCAGGATCAGATGGAGGAGTATTACGAGCGCTTCGGCCGTCAGATTTCGACGGCAGTAGCATCTAAGAAGGACTCGGTTGTTGCAGACGGCACACCTCAAGGTCTCGTCTTGGAGCTTCTCAAGCCTTACAAAGACGTTCTGCCACCCGTCGGCACTCGTGCATACGGCGCCCTTGTGTACTCGAACATGGCCAACGCATCAACCCAGCAGAACGATATGATTCGAGCTGGTGACATTATCACTATCCGCAACGCCAAGTTCCAGGGCAAGCACGGCCCAATGCACGCAAAGTACTCCGCTGAAGTTGGTAAACCTGACCATGTCGCCGTTGTGGCCGAATGGGATGGCACCAAGAAGAAGGTGCGCGCATGGGAGCAGGGCCGCGAGAGTAAAAAGGTCAAGGTCGAGAGCTTCAAGCTTGATGATCTGCGCAGCGGAGAGGTCAAGATCTGGCGCGTCATGCCACGAAGCTGGGTTGGCTGGAATAGCCAGTCTTAGTGCAGCTGGAAACAATGCAGTGAGAGTGATGATTATCTTCGCAAGAGGATGTCTATGA